TTGAATTGAATTGGTTTGGTAACAAATTAAGTGATTGTACCTATAATTCAGTAATTAACCAGCATTTTTAAAGTTGATTTGATTAGTTGTAAGCTTGCAAACATTGACGTCGAAATCAAGCAGATTATACTACTGAACAACTAAACGAGCACTTTTGTTCATTTTTGTCTGTTAAAATTGAATATATTGTTTGTATCAGTAAAGAACCAAGAGTTTTATACTAACCTATGCAGCGAAATTCTTGGACAACTCGTTCCAGACCATTTAATTAACGAACGGCTAAAGGTACATACTTAAATTTGGTAACAATGAGTAGCTACAGATCAGAGCTTCAAGATGATATAAATCAAGCTATAATCCAAGATTGAATTCAGGATCATTTAGGACTTTTCATGTAGCTCGAAAATATGGGGGGGTCTAACTTTTTTGGCATAATTTTTGTCTTATTTTTGATCCTATTAATTAGTGCGTTATAATTTCGAGCTGCAAAGTCATCAGCATAAACTTGAGGTTTCATATTAATATAAAATGCTTAAATATACCAGATTTTAGGAATCGTAAGCGGATTAGAGGACATTTAAATAAGCTATTAATTTAGAGTTAAGGATTTTCGAAAAAATACAGAGACGCGCGAATTTCAAAACAGCCGAATAAACACTTAACTATTTCTTGCAAAATTTTCAAATTTCTACTGGACATTAATCATGATAAGATGTATAATTGCTGAAAATTTCAGTCGTTTATCTCCTTTAGTTCCTGAAAAAATCTTGATCTTATCTGTCCAAGAATTTCGCTGCATAGGTTATTGCATTGTGATGACACGAGATTGATTCCTTGGATGATTGGCAGCCTCCGATTTAGTCTATAAAATGATGATGTAACTGACTAAGAGAGACAAATTAAATCAAAGCCAGGCTTTCATCAGCAAAAATGATGAATGGAAAGCAGCCACTCTTGATAATTTCTAGTTGATTCCTTCATTTCTTGATATAATCTTTTCTTGTAGACAGCTCTGAAACAGCTCTTGAAATCTGCCGATGATTTTGAAATGGGTAATCACTCTGTTAATCAAGAGATTATTTGAGAAAAAGTTTCTCATTAGATCTCAACAAGAAAGTCCAAATCTTCAAATTCTTGGAAAAATAATAAATTTATTTAACTAAAGAAAAAGGAGGGCATGAAGAAAAGTTGATTTTTTGTTGTTATGTTAACACATAGCATCTGTTTGATTAGAATCCATATCGAATGGATTGAATTATTTGGAAAATAGCAGATCCACAGACGACGAAGATGAAGAGAGCTAATAACCATGGTCCAACTGGATATTTATCATCTGCATTTTTCTATAACAGTAAAAACGAGGAAGGTGCAAGAGAAGAGAAGAAACCAAAATTAGACAAGGCAAAGAAATTGATTACCAAGCCGGTGAAGATGAAAAAAGGGATGACTCAATAAACCGGTCAGCTGGCTAGACTGACTTTAATATTAAGGCAGACCGATGAGGAAGAGCTAATGATTAGTAAAACATTTTTTGTATCACGTATACTTACAGTTGTTTTAGGAACATTTCCTCGGAGAGTCACATTTTTAGATGCCTTTTCATTGGCAACTTTCATTCGTTGTGTTTTAACCATTATCAAAACTTTAAATTAACAAACAATACAATAAAACTATCTAAAAAAATTAAATCACTAGTTGGTCTAGTAATAATGAACTTTTAAACAATTAAGACGTGTCAATTTCAACATCAACTATCCAGCATCATCAATCACTTGATTCTCCAGTCAACTGTCAACAAACTCTAATCCCTGATCCTGATACTAGGACTCGCAAGATAATTTTCACTAGCGTTAATAGATGTCAGTGTAATATCGAATTATTTTACAAGTTTTTTCAATTTCAAATTGAAACTTTTATAAACAATTGTAATAAAAACATGTTGGATTGTTGGAATTAGCTTTATTTAAGAAACTAATTAAATGCAGAAATTTAGACTCACTTTTACATTGTTCAATTTAGTTGATACGGGATAAAACTATTAAAGATTAATCATTACATTTCTTTGTAAAATACAAGGTTGATTGGAGTTATTTTTACTTGAGAAACTCTCTAAAAGAGAGAACATAAATAATTAAAAGACTAAAGGATAAAATTTACAGCCTAATCATTCATCCATTTGAATTAAAGTGATTATTGTCTTCTGCGTTGATTACTGGCCTGTGGTTTTTGAATTTGATAAAACGTCAGCCAAAAAGCGGCAAAGCGTCCATCGAAGGGAATGATCAAGGAGCCCTCAGTTAATAATCAAAAATTTTGAAATTAGTTTCCATATTGAACTCTAGTTATGATATCCGCAACTGAATGCGTCGTATTTATACAAAAATATTTTCGCAGCAATTTTTACTCTTTTCTTTGTTTTTCATTATTTAACATTATGTTACCAGTTTTAATATCACATTTAAGATTGTCCTTTTGGGCTATCATTCTTTGGTAATTTTTGATAGTAGTTTGTTATTGGAGTTAATGGTTCTGATGGTTTCGTTCTTGATTTTTTACCCTTTGGTGAAAGAGTTCTGGGACTACGTCGCCTCTTGTTATTACGGACAGGACGTTTTTCTCCACGGACAGGAGTTGCAAAAAGATTACGTTTAGTACGTTTAGAACGAACAGGATGAGTAGTTTCATAGTCTTCAACGGTGATTGTAGGAAAGTTTTCACTATCAATGTCTGTAATTGGCTCCTTTTTCTCTTCTTTGTACGGTTCTATTTTATCATATGCTGTGTAGTTGCCGTTTTCATTTGGTTTCAATGGTTCAAAGGTCCATCTTCTTAATCTACCCTGATCGGTACCGGTGAAAATAAGACCCATCTGATTGACAGCTTCAACTGAGTCGACTTCAGAGTTTTCAGGTAAAATATACGAAGGCAAAATTGGTTGATCACCATCCTGTTGATGTTTAATTTTCCAAAGACAAGCACATTTGTCCATGGAGCCACAAATAAGATATTCATCGTTTAGTATTGATACTTTTGAGTAATTGTTGATGCGTGCTCCTTTGTAACGACCAACAATTTTTTCTTGATATGGTGAATAACAATAGACTGTTTTGTCTGAGCACGATGCATAGAGAAACCCTTTCGACATTACGAGGGAAGTATAACCTTGTTTATCCGAGAAATTGCTTTTACCACCAAATGACATTTGTTTAAGAGGTTGAATTTTAGAGGTTTGTTTACGAATATCCCAAACTTTAATCAATCCATCGCTAGCTCCTCCACTGAACAGATGATAGCCAGAAAACAATATCGATGTTACAGCATTTGCCGGACAACTCCTATACCTTTTATATCTACGCTTTGATATTTTAGTCTCAGCGACATGAGCGAATGGAATGTCAAGTACAGGCGCTAATAAAAATATGAATTGGATTAGAACATGAGAAAAAGTGGATACAATTTTCTTAAATAACTTACCATTACAGTCTCTGAGATCCCAAACCTTGACGTGTCCATCTCTTGCACCGCTGGCAAAAACATTAGAATCGTGAAAATCTACACTTCTTACCGAACAAATATGACTTTTCTCTATTGCTACTATTTTATCTTCTAGAAATTATAAAGAAAGTTATTGTCAGTAAATTTAGAAATAAGATGACTATGGAATGTGTTTTAAGATTAATAGGGGAAAAACTTACTGGGACGGAAAATATCGACTAAAGTAATGCTCAAATCTCCAGATGCGGTTAATAATTGTCCAGACACATCAGGTCGCCATTTAATATCAAAAATTGCATTCTGGTGAAGCTCCCATTTATATTCAGATTGAAGATTATGAATATCCAAAAGGTCGACAGTACCCACTTCATTGGCTGAAGCAATGTGTTTGCCGCCATCATAAGCTGTGGCCAGAATGGGAGATTCTATAGAGATAGCCTGCAAATAAAGTGAAACAAGATAATTTGTTATAATATAACCCAAAATATTAAATTAATGAAAGTATTGTGATCCAAAGTAAACAAAAATCTTACCTCTGTTTCGTATGTAATGTGATTTTCATGTGAACAATAAATTTCAGCAACTTTAAAGTCCAAGCTTAAGCGCTGACCAATATTGCCCCTTAATTGTGTGTTGGTATAGAAGTTAAGTACGTTCATGATTTCACTAATATATATTAAAACAAATTGTTGAATAAAACATAAAAAAATCAGTTAAATAAATGAAAAACAATCAACCAACTTTAAAAAATGCAGCCTGTGTTAAAAGATGTTGTCTTGGCGCCAATTTACATTTGTTTGTGAGGGAGCAAAACAGGCGCTAAGATGACAAAGCAAATGTGCTGACCTCTAGCGAGTCACACAAGTTTTGTTTTGTTGTTTACAAAAACAAAATTTAAAAGGAAAAACACAAATCCTATCAACAATAGTCTACCTAATTTCATCGTTTATTTCAATCGGAAATCATGGGTCGTATTCATTTGGAACACATGGGAGGAGAAAGATTATTTTCTTGTGCTTCTTGTGACACTGTACTAACTAATAAGAAAGAGCTTGCCTCAACACGGTTTACTGGGGCAACTGGACGTGCTTATCTATTCAAGAAGGCTGTTAATTTGACTTACAGGTATTGTAATTTGTATGAATATTTTTATTTTTTTATGATTTTATTCGTTTGGATATTTATTTAACGTTGACTCTCTTTTTCATTAGTGAGGTTCAGGACCGTCAAATGTTGACTGGTAGACATAAAGTACGAGATGTTTCCTGTAAAAACTGCGACAATAAACTTGGATGGATTTATGAGTTTGCTACTGAAGAGGGTCAACGCTACAAGGAAGGTCAAGTTATTCTGGAACGTGCTCTAGTTATCGAATCTGACGGATTTGAGGAGAATCCTCCACCTCTTCCTGAGCAATGAACATATTAAGTTTATATTTAAGCGTCTTATATTTTATATTATCATCAACTCTAATCCATCTTCTCATAAATCATCCTAATTTGGCCAATCTTATTAATGCAATACCTTCGGCGCAAATTTCAAAAGTATATACGATTTCTCGATTCAAGCTTCTTTAAAATCCTTGAGACCGATTTTTCTTCTTTGACCTTTCATTTTATTTCATAAATTGCTTAAAAACTACATTAAATAATAGTCATCTTTTCCACTGCATAAAATCTTCCATGGCCTATCTTTAATTTGTTTAACTGCTTATTTTTCTAAGGAATTAAGCTTACTAAAAACCAGTCTTGGATATATATCAATGTCTAAAACCGTCTGTCATTATCCTTCCGACTAAGCTCTTAATCATAAATTAACGATAAGCGATAATATTTCAGCCAAGGCTTACAAAGATAATTCGAACTGAATATTGAATATCCAAAAATGCGAATTTATTAGTTGTCTAATTTTACAATAATTTTATTAGATAGATTAGATTTAGATTAATACTAAAAATTTTTACAAAAACTAATCAAATCATTTAATATGAAATTAATGACATCATATTCTATCTGCATCAAAGTGACAGTCATTGTCAACCCATCCATCAGCATCTTGTTCAAACTTAAAGGTCATTGCCTCTTCAGGCTCTTCTTCAAATGAATCATTAAAGTCATCGTCAAATTTATCTTCATTAACCGGGCGCACAAATTTCTTTTGCTTCAAATCGTAATATTCCAACGAATTAATTGCACTTTCAAGATCAATGTGGAAAGGTAACAGGGCATCATCAACAGTATATTTACCAAATCTTGTGCATCTCAATCGAATACAGGTAGCATTAGTTTTCAATTTGATTCCAATCTCATGAACCATTCTTTTAAGAAAAATTGGCCATTCATTAACAACCTGAAGCTCTACGGTAAAATCTGGCGGTTTGAATTCAATGAGTTTAATGGAATATATTATCGGCATACTTTTACGATGTGCTGGCCTCAATAAACCTTTAGAGGCAATTTCATAGGCTTCTTGAGAACCAATGTCAACTGCAGCTGTAGTGTACATCAAAGTCTGATGGTTGGATTCCATTTTATTAAGAACAGATTCCAGTTTACCTCTCGTTACGTGTTCATAAGTCGACTTTTCACGCACTTCTCCTGAAAAGTCAAAAGATGCTGTCGCATATCCAAGTCTCCCAGTGACTTCGTAACATCGAATAGGATTAGATCTTTGTAGTTTTCTAGCTACATAAAATAAAAAAAAGTAATGAAAAACAATGAATTGTATTGAAATAATTAATTTTAACAGGGGAATCAATTACCGTGATAACAACCAGATGCTCCAATGCCGAAAGGAATGACACCAGATGACATCCAATCAAGAGTATGAACACTGAATAATCTTATATCTTTCAATTGGTATCTAGGACCCACAACCAAAGGGTGATCAGCATAATTCATAACTGTCCTGACTGTCAAGTTTTCGTCCCTCGAAAGAAGACCATCAATAACAACTCTTGATGAGACAGGTCTTGTTTCCATTGAATTTAGATCTTGGTAGACAAACAAAGCATATATTAGATTAAATTCAGTAATCATGATGAATATTACTTACCACCTGCGATGACTTTACGAATTCTTTCAGATATACTTGATAAACCAATGCGAGAAGGTTTATAAACACAAAGGATTCCATTTAAAGCTTTGTAAGCAGTAATGGCACAAGATGTCATGTTTTTTAAGGATAAAGTACTGGTAACTAAACACAACAGTGATTTAGTTTCGGTTTACTTTAAATTTACATAATTTACATACATTTCTATAATTATCTAATGATAAAGACACATTATAATTGAACTTCTTAATGTAAACATGCTTTAAATGGTTGTCATATGCTTCGAAAGTATCAAAATACTGAAATATCAGTATCAATACGCAAGGCGGGCTTTTTGATTTTTCTGAATAAAATCTGAAGCGGAATGACTGCTGATTAATGTTATTTCATTGTATCAGGTTAATTAGTAATTTTTAAACATGAGCAATCTAACTTGTAAAAAAATGAGATCATGTGACCTAGACTCAGATAAATGAAAGGATGTGTAGTTGATGAAATAGAAAGAGAGCCTGACAAAGTTGAGACCAACTCAATTACTCACTACAGATGGGTGCAGCATCTGGATCTGTTTGCTTTCTTTGTTACTCTTTGGGTTAGCTTTATTTTTTACAGATCAGTGTAGTTGTGTTATTTATTATTGTGATTGTAACTATTCCTTGAGATACTTAATCGCCATGGCTTATAAAATGCCCGATCAAAGATGGTTGTATGATCTATTTCGTAGGGTTGACCGAGATGGCTCTGGTGCTATTAATGCTAACGAATTACAATCTGCTCTTTCCAATGGTACCTGGAGTGCGTTTAATGGTGAGACTGTCCGTTTAATGATCGGAATGTTTGACAAAGACAGAAATGGATCAATTAATTATCAAGAATTTGTCCATCTTTGGGATTATGTGACCCGATGGCTTAACTGTTTTAAAAGCTTTGATCGCGACAACTCTGGAAATATAGATCGTGAAGAGTTGAAACAAGCCTTGACCACATTTGGATACAGATTATCAGACAGTTTTTACAGCATAATTATCAGAAAATTTGATAGGAAAGGTGCTGGTTCAATCTATTTCGACGATTTCATCCAGTTATGTGTTCTCCTTCAATCATTAACAGCAGCATTCAGGCAACATGATACAGACCAAGATGGGTGGATACAAATTGATTATGAGAGATTTTTAACCATGGTTTTTGATGTTTGTATTGTTTAATATTGTGATTTTATTATCTTTCTGTAAGGTCAAAACGTCCTCTCTTTCACATTTGTTTAAATAAAGTGTCTCTAAATTTTTAATGGCCTCAAAGGTTACTCTTTATTTGCTAAATACTCCAGAATATTCCTACTAACTCATTAAAAAACAGTCAATATTGCCATGCAATAGTAACCTTGATAAATCAGTCTTGTAGTAAAGTGTTGAGATAAAATCGTTCAAGTACTGCCTGTGATTACTGATTCATACATTGCAAAACAACAAATGTTAAAAAAGATATTTAATAGCTCGTGATTACTATCGAAATTAATCTCAGGCTTTACTATTATACTTTACCGATTTCCTACAAAAGGTTAGATTTAGATTTTCATATCAAAATGATACAACACTGATTTTTTAAAATGATAAATGTGAGCAATCAAGCCAAAGCTCGGATCGTGAATCAAAAACATTTTTCACCCATTTTCATGAGGAAAATAAACAATTTCAACATTTTACTAAACATTTTGTGTATAATTGAGATTGTTTATGAGGTATCGTTCAAGCCTGTTAATTATTTCAACAATTGAAGCAAGAAGGTTAACATTGGGAGTCCACTAAAAACCAAAACACCAAAAAATGACAAAATTAACCAAAAATTACCAAAATGAATGCAAATTGGTCATTCCGTGGCCACACAATTTTTAATTTTTTATCAATAATGCTGAGTTTTTTGGCCTTAACTGTATAAAAAATCAAGAAATATCATCATCATGGTATTGTTCATGATGCTCAAACTGCTCAACAATTGGAGTGGAATGAAGGGTGAATTACCTATGAGATACAAAATAATCTGGAATTTGAAGGTTGAAATCCAATTCTCTTCAAACTTTAAGACTCTTCCACTAGTCCTTGCCTATTACTCATAATTTCTCGACCAAAAAAGTTAGATACACCTTAATTGTCTTCATTATCAACGGCAGCGATCTGAAAAATGATAAAAAAATAAAGGTATTGATAATGGATAAATATATGTAAATATGATATGAATGTATAAAGAAGAGAGTTGATCAGTCAATTGAATGCACAATGTTGAATAGGAGGGAACCCAAAATGGATAAAATAATAGCAATTGTGATGATTTGCCCAGCTGAGTGACAAGATAGCGGAAGAGGAAAGAGAAAGTAAGATGAATGAAAGAAAAATGATGAGGCTGATGGAATCTTCAGTTAGTGGTTATTAGCCAAAGAAATGATTGCTTATATTAAAGGCTGCTGACAATATAAGATGATGTAAGTATATTTTGCTCTTGGAAAAGTTCAGAATCTGTCAAATTTTCAGTAAGCACATCAGTTGGCAAGATTCATGGTGAGATAGCAAAGAGAATCCGTTTAGTAACTTAAATTGTCCATAATTTAACACAAAAAGAATAAAATATAATGGTGAATACCCTTAGCAATTACAATTTTTGATTTCTTAATACATCGGTAGGAATAAAATTGAGCAATTGGCTAGTTAAAGAAAAAAGAAGAATTCAGTGTTTAAAGAATACCCGGAGTGTGGTGAGATTAAGATGAAAGTAAGGTTATTATCGCAGGATGAACGGAGGGAGACAAATGAGAAGATGAAATGAAATCGATAAATGACCTTATATAATACTGTTTTGTACTAGCCAAGTAACAGTGAAAATGGTGAAACCCGTTCATTATCATCTAATTGACGGAAATGAAAAGTGTTTGGCCTGTTGGTCTCTTAATGGACGTCCATAGCTTAACTAATCAATTTAAAAAGTTAATCTCCTTGTTCATCATACTCATCATTCTCTGATGAGGAAGAGAGTAGAGATGATAGAGTGAGAACCTAATCGGCTACTTGATTCGTTGGATATAAAAGGCCTGTTGAGGTAATAAGTGACCACAGTAAAAAAACTGAAGAGTTCAAGTCTTTTCCCATTGATAGGAAACAAAATTTCGGTGAAGTGATAAAATTGTATCTAAACCAACTACAACAGCTCAATGCATTTCAAAGTTTTCCTCGTGTTTCTATCAACATTTATTGTGATGTGTTTAAGTGAAAAGCCATACGAATCACCGACCACTTATTATAATAATAGGAAAAGTTCCAGACGCTCGGAAGTATATGGAGGTAGACCTAGAGATCGAGGAGTTAGATACAGAGGAGGATACCCTGAAAGTGGATACGGTGGAGGATTCGTATCACATGGATCAGGTAAGGCTTTTGGTTCTGGTTATGGAGGTTTCGAGGCATCGTCTTCGAGTGGAGTTGGCTTTGGATATAGCGGTGGTAGTGGTGTTTATGGCTCTAATTTCAATGGAAGAGGTAAAACTAAAGGTCGTGGAAATGGAGCTGGAAGAGGAGGCTACAAGGGTGGCAATGGTACACGAAAGTTTCCTCATGTAACTCAACGAAAGACACCAACAAGAGGAAGAGGAATCAGTACAACTCAACAGCGTAAAATGGGTTTGGTTAGAGAAAATGATTATTAAATTATTGGAAGATAAATGTAATGAGCAATAGCTTTTCATCCTCTAAACTGGAGGCTGATACATTTTATTGTTTTAAAGATCTGTATGTATACTAAACCTCATTCTTACTAATTTATATAAACATTTATCAAAAAATTTTACCTTTTATTTTATTTTTCAACTGCTGCATTTAATTTGCTTTGAGATTTAAGAGGGAAAAAGTAAAGGCCTAGAAATAAAGGTTACACAGGTTACCTTATACCTGTGGACGTCTTCCAATTCTGCGATTTTATATCCATCGGAAACACAGCTTTGAAGGAAAGATGACGGAGACTCTTAAAGCTTCGCTTGTCATTCCAGTGTTGGCTTTCTTACTTGTACTAGCTCTTGCTCTGAATGTTCAAAAATATCCCTTTTGAGTTAAGAGTTAAAATGTTATATTGAAATATTTGGTCATTCAAAATCTTAAGAAAAAGTTACGTTATGTATTTCATTGTAAATTTTCATTGTATTATATTACTTATGCTTTCAGATTTATTCTTAATTATAAAGTTAGATAGTTATTCAAACACAATCTTATGTGTTTGAAGATATTCATTATTTAGAATTAAGATTTTCTTATTCACTCATATTCTGTTATTGCCCCTAATAAAATCTAATGTTAGATGAGATAATCATGGTTGTAGGTGCTAAAATTATCAAAATATTGAGGCTCAAAGTTTCTAGGCCAATGGCCAAATCAGCAGAACTGTCAATAAATTGAGAAAAGTTTTCAATTATTTATAACGAGTTTTATCATCATTTTCATCATTAAGTTTCAGCTCTCTATTTCTTACGGTAACAGAAAGCTGTTGGCTTAACTAAAAATCGGAGTTATCTGTTGTAATGAAACAAGAAATTCTATTTCACGAAATAAGTCCATTTTCTAGTTGTCCATCGAAAGTGACATCAGCTAAATGAGTTTCATTAAAAAATCCTGTCTCATAATTCAATAAAGGCCGTTCGAAGTTTCAACTTTGACCTCGGTTTCCTAGAAAACTGTCGATCCGAGAAATTTTAATAGAACTAATGGAATGGGTTTGCATGCCCTTACAAACCTAAAAAGTCACAGCTCTTAATTTGCAAGGAAAGTTTTTCCGTACACTCCTGGCCATTTTGTATTTTGGTCAATTTTGGCATTTTAGTGAACATCTTAACATTGTATTCATTTTGACATTATTGTTGACATTTTTGTTGCAATTAATTTTGTTGCTACATGACCAATCAGATTACTCATTGGCTGTGATCAATGTGAATCACTGTTGATGTAAGTTGGGTTGACCAACCTTAAATGAACATTAAAGGCAAGGTTAAACAAACCAAAAGACATCAACTATGGATAAGAAAATGACTAAACCGTAGAAGGGATAAATTGCTTTGCAACCTTTTGTTTCCAAGGTTTGCTGTATTTTACAATCGACTGATTTACCTTACAATTAACTCACCTTGCCTATTAGTCCGGGTTGACATATTAAAACATTGAATATTGCAAGTTTGTCCTTCTTTCCATGTCATTTGGTTTTTTTAATTTGCACCAGTTTTTGATCAAATTGTACAGACAAATTGTAACTTACCTGCATTACAAGGTTTACATTTTTTTACATAAACTTTCATTACAATTACAGTAATCAACTTCCGTTATCGAGGAAAATTAAAACTAAAAAATTGTCACAAATGTATTTTTGAATGAATGGTAACTAAAAATTGTAAGCATCCAAAGCCAATGAATGAATCAAAGCTGAACCAGTTTTTAACTTTTGAGTATTCTGGTTAGGTTAGGTGAGCCTTAGTTAACCAGTGAGCAAATAAGTGAAATGACAAATTGATTTGACAATTGTTAACCTTCAAATCTCCGTTTATTATCAATTTAATATTGAATGTCAACAACTGAATAGTTAGTCCATTAAATTGATGGTAAGGTCAGCAAAAAAAGAAGTCAATATTACAACAAATTGTTGTTTTCACTTGCTTCTGATATCGTTAGTTGTGATGATAACAACAAGTCAACTTGCTATCAACATTAAGACTTGAGGTGATTATGTGTAGTAAACCCACAATTAGTAAACATTGACTTGTTTTTATTGGTTTGGTTACTAGTTAATCAGATTGATCTGATTGTTGATCTGATTGATAATGCAAGGTTGAAAATAAAGTACTTATGGTTAGGATTAGAATGAAAATAAATAGATGGACTGGAAGATGTTAACCGATTTGCCGTTAGTTATTATTATTCATATGCTTAATAGAAGTAAATTTTGTGATCTTTTTTACCGTCTTCAGTTTTCTTGTTTCATATCCGCATCATCATTATAATTTTTTCCTTTATCTCTTCCTGGTTTAAGATTATTCAGATATACTCAGAAAACCGGCTTAACCAGTCAAAAATTGTTCCAGATGAACTTAACCAGAAAATGATGAAAAAAAGTCAATCTCATCACAACAGCAGCAACCATTAATATTATTCACATCAATCTCATTTGTCTCTTTTAACTTAATAATTTTTGCTAATTGCTAATCATCTCAACAGTTTGATTGTTTGATTGCTACAAAATTTACATATTTAACCATCACTTTATACTAATATTGATGTTAAATAGAGCAACAAGTTGCATTGTTGGGAAAAAAATTGATCTTAACCTCAACCGTTTAGTTGAAATTGTTTGAGTTGTAAGTGTAAATAATTGTCCTCTAATCAATGATACAAACCTATCCAGTTTGATTGTGAGTTTAATCGGGATAAAAAGGATAGTAATCGTTTTGCATTCTCTGGTCATTTGCCTTGTAGCCATTTAGCAAAAAAAATATTAATATTATTGTATCATCGTTTATAAGTACATCAAACTCCACCATTTCAGATGAGTTTAACTTTTTTCCCTTCTCTTCTTCATTTTACTTTCTGTTATGATTATTAATACATCATCATCACTCTAATAAGAGAACAAGATTTGTAATGATAATAGTTGTTGATGCTGTTCCGAATGATAATAATACATTAAAATGGTTGTCTGGTTATTTACAGATAGAGTCAATTTAGTCGTTATTTTTCTGCTTTCCTCGCATCATCATTATCAACATCATCGTGACACTTGATAACAGGTAACAACAGAATATATCTTTGCTTTTATTTCATGACAATATTGTATTGTCAAGATGAATGTTGTTTGTTATTGTTCAACAATTTAGCTTTTTTTTCCTTGCTTTGCTCCTCTTTTTTTTCTTGCTCCAACTTTTGATTCAAACTTGTTCAGGTCAATTCCCTAGGCCAACTTTGAAAATTGTTAGACATAAAAAATGAGTAAAAGTTTAACAACCAAAGTCAAGAAAGGTTGCAAAGGTCTGATGAAAATTGAATAAGATCTGAAAGTTATGATAAAATGGTTGAATTGAACAGGTATTGACAGCCTACGGAAAATAAGCATCTTTCTGGTTAATCAATTAACCGGTCTACTCCTGGTTTTGATGGCCAAGTCTTTCTTAAGACCATTGTCCGGTTGTAGGATAACACTGGTTGGATCCATCGACAGCAATACGAACCAACAGTTTAAATAAAATTGAATAATCTGATGTAATAATCAGCTTGAAAGACAGCAGACGTTTGCACTTGATCTAATGCGGAACCTTGAAATAGATGATGATTGTAATCCTCTTGGATGACGCTCAACGTCTAACGCTTCCTACACAGAGATCATTGGTACCAATTATTTCAACTGCAGTTTATTAAGTGTTTGCTCATTGTAGTGAACCAAATTGAACCAATCAAAAGTTGAATCCATCCAGTGACGGTAAGAGTTCTGGTTATCCTAAGAAAAAGTATTGCTTCCATAAATGTGATAATGATGATTATTAGTTGTTGATGTTGTTAATGATGATGAAAATGATGATCATGATGATGGTTATATTAGAGAGAGAGGAAGGAAAGAAAGGATAAATGAAAGTAAATTTCCGGTTGCAACTTATTTCATGAGGTTGTTAACTCATAATGCATATCTTTTCAATTCAATAACTGACTTGACATCTTTAGCTGATAGGTTTAAGAATCAAGAGAGAAGAAAAGAAAGGATTGAATTTTAACTACAAATAAATATACCAAATAATATCAACTAATAAAACAAAATTAGCCAGCAATTTGAGTGAAACTGGTTAACCTCTCCAATTGAATGCAGTGGACTTGTTGTATCCACAATAGAACTATTGATATTGATTGTTCACGTTCTTGTTCATGATAAATGATTTTCCAATTGTTGGTGATGAATCAAAGTAGGAAAAAACAGAACCAAATTACAATTGTTTAACACAAAAACAGAAAAAAAACTAGATCAAAACAATTATAAGATTGAAAACTTAAAGAAAAGAAATGAAAACAAGTGAAAACAACCAATTTTCGCTCAAATTATAATTAATATTCAAAGTCGACCAAAGAGACAAATTAGCAATTCAAGTTCAACAGAAGTATTTATAGTCAACTGATTAAATAAGTTAAAAAAATGGTAAATTAATGATCAAACATAATTAAAAAAACAAGTTGAAATATTGAGTCAAAAAGCTGACTTACAGCTGACATTTGAGTAAACATTTCAATAATTTTCAACTGGCGCCATATTTAAAAAGCAATTAAACCCAAGCAACCAAATCGGTAAAATTTAGCTAATCAATTATCAATGAAACTTAATCAATCCTGGCAGTGTTTAATACGAATTAGATTAATAAAAGCAGCCAAAACTACATGAATGTAATAAGAACTTTTCATCAATCTGAAATAACAAACAAAAAGCGGTTGTAGGTTAAATAAAATTTACTATCTATTCAAGATTTATTCAAAACTTAATTAACACTAATGTTTAACGGCTGGCTTATCAAGTGAATGTAATAATAATTGTTGGGGCGATAAAATAGTTTTAAATGATGAAGATTAAGTCTAGACTTGTAAACAAACATCAATGGTAATCAGGTAATTATGAATAACAATATTAATCAATCCATTATTTAGTTAATGATTGATGACAAGTAAAGATGAAACATTAATCAAGAATACAACAAACCCTTTGAAATGGCTTAAAAACTAGGATGAAAAAAGGCCAGATTAACACAGTATAATGTATCACAATATCAAGATATAAGCTTAGATATGTATAAAGAGGCTAGAAAGGCAGAATGCACACAACAAACAAAATGTTAATAGTAGTTAACTAATATTAGATTAATTATACATACTAATAATATGAATTTGGAGTTGATATACACTTAAAAATATCACAAGTATTAAAATTTGGTTGCATGTTTTTAAAGCAAAAAAGCTTAACATGAACAAAAACAAGACAAGACATTAGGAATGGCAACAGTGAAGGCAACAGCAAGAAGCTGAAAAAAGGCTAACAAGTTCGGTGACCCTTAAGATGAAACAAGTTCGGGCGTCCATCATGATAGAATCATCATCCTTTTTTAGGTCAAAAAGATGAGAAATGGCCAGGCTAAATGGAGCTAAGGAGGTAATAGGAAAGGTAATGTTTAATCAACATCAACCTTGTTGTGAGGTTTAAATAGATAGGAGCAACACACAAAAAAAGATGAACACTTGTAACCTTGTTTGATGTGAATGGGAACATTATCAAGCCCTTTTACCTCCATTCTTGGATCTCTTTTTTTCAATCTTTTCTTGATTCCATTCTTCAATCCATTCACTGAATTTCAATTGAAAGAATAAAGAAAATTCCTTGATTATCAGGAATAATCATTAACACCGTGGAGTTGGCTAATCAATGAATCAATTCAAGTGACTGTTTGATTCTCGGCTCATCCATTCACACACCAACCTTGGTCTGAACAACACCTTTTGTTGTCCTTTTGTTTCGTGTTTCTTTTTTCAGGTCGATTTATCCAAAAGTGGAACATCGCTTTACAACAAATTATTAACCACCACCACCATTTAGATCAATCTCTTATATTTTGCTGTCGCTTAATTTGTGGTTAAACTTCAAATTAGATGATAATATTACATTGATGATTGATCGCGTTAATAATCTGGTTATTAAACCATGATTACTTCAAGCTTGCGACTTGTTTTAAATTTCATTTGACATTTTTGTTTTTGGCAAACATTTCAATCACATTATGTTGTTACTTTTATGACCGGTCCAAACACATGACACATTTACTCCTCAATTCAATATTTTGGTTGTTAACCAGAGTCTTGTCGAGATTGTCTATCCAACCAAATCAGCTTCATTTTTATATTCATCACCTCATAATAGACAAAGACAGGAAATTTAATTAATAACGGAAATTATTTCGCTAATCATGCATGCAAGTTAAAGGTTGATTTTTCAACGACTAGAAATGCTACTTCTGAGATCCGGTTTAGGAATCCAAACAATCAATAGATTTTTTTCAATCAATAAACAAATATCATATCCATAATCATCAAGCATCGTTATAATAATCATTATAATGGTTATTAACATCATCCTAACCATCAACAGCATCATTATCATCCTCATTTGGGTATCATCGGGATCATATGATTGGTATCATCATTTGGATAGTTTTAACTCAGTCAATGAAAGAAAAAGAAAACAATTAGTTAAAGAAAAATAAGTAAACTGTATTAATTTAGTTGTTGTCAAGGTTAATTTGAGATTTGCAATTGTACTATTTACTTGTTGATTTATAATGTAAGAAATATTGTCCATTTTTTTTTATTAAAAAGCTCTTGGTTGGATCCTTTACAGTATTAATGATTTTTGATACAATAAATAGGATTTAAGAGTATTAGGTAATGTTAGTTCTGTTTGCAGTCTATGAAGACGCTGTTTCCCTATCTGCTTCCTAATGACTCGTCGACATATATCTTTGAGAGGTAACGGTTCCGCTGTTAGAAAAGACAAAAGCAAAAGGTGAAAGATTAGGATTAGCAACATGTAAATACTTTTTTGTTTCTCCAAGAGAATATGGAAAGATGTAAAGAGTGGGAGATGCTGGAACATATGTATAAGGAAGAGGTAGATGGTTAATCACGGAAGCTCAATGATTCAATGAGTGAGCAAGTGAATCCGAGAGAGAGATCAACATACTACACCAAGAAAGTGACTGAGCGTGAGAGAGAAAGCTGAGTGAAAGAATATTGAACTCTGAAGGGTTAATCACTTGAATAGTAACAACAATAAAAGAAAGACTATTTTTCATCTTTCGCTCTTCCTCTTCCTCTTTCACTCATGATGTTTCTGCTCCTTCTTTCCAGGAAAAAAAACCTGAATAAGATAATTTGACATCATTTTTTCTTTCTCCCTCTGAACTTGACATGAGATGAGATGATCTTCATCATTATCATCGCCATTACCATTATTGTTGTAATCATTGTCATTGTCGCTATTGGTGTAATCACTATTTTTTCAGGAATGATTAAACTTTTGAAAATGTCAATCGGAACTTCGATAACTTCCTAAAACAGGTTTTCTCATCCTGAAGATCGCTTTAATTAGCACAATCATAGGAGATTGATTGATTTGCTTGCATTTTTCAAGATCAAATATATCAAATAGCATTAAAGCTTGAACTTGACCTTAGGAAGATGGTTGAAGAATAAAAATATTTCGTGGAAATGACAAAACGGCACTACTTACGGTCAAGTCCTCCAAGGTATTTCATAGTAATCTCACAATGTCCCCAAACGGCACTAACAATGGGATATAATTTTTTCCCTTTAAGTCCACTGAAGGCAACTCCAAGGTATTGATTGTCAACGATAAATGAAAGTGTTCCCTCATCCATATCAAGAACAGTTAGAAAACTATCTGGAACATTAAAAGTTTCGTCCGGTCTAAGGTAAGCAGGATAGGTTCGTCCGGTGGTGTTATTTTTGGAATCATGATACAACAAACTACGGCCCAAGTCCCAGCCCCAAGATTCTGTATTAGAACCGACCAGTGACTGATAACCTTGGGTATGAAGTGGAGCTTCTGAAGTGGCTACACCAACCACAGCATGTGTCCCTCGTTGCCTTGTATTCCAGGTTATCTCCCAAAGATGCATTCCTCGGGTATAACCCATTTTGCCTCTTATACAATCGGTACTTTGAGCCATAGGGTGTCGGTGGAGGGTATAAATATCGTCATCTTTTATGAAAATATTGAGTGACCTGTCATCTGGGTTCCAGGCATGTTGTGACATCACTTCATTGTCAACAGGAGGCATATCTAAAAGAACATCAAGTCGACCTGGGCGACCTGAATCACCGCAATCACCAGTTCCACATAGTCCACCTCCGTAACCTGGGCCCCCATTTGAGGTTAAATGTTTACGAGTTGTTGACCAGTTTCCTGGAGAACAATGAATTGACCGATCATCACGGTTACTCCCATTGGAGCAGCTTTTATTAAAGGAAGAAGTTTTCTGACCCATTAACCAATGATAACCACAATAGATCAGATTACTTTGGATTTGACGGTAAGCCACCCAGCCTCTGGAACCAGAGATTAAATAATAAAGTAAAATAATTGTCATACATGTACAAAATTATACAGAAATAGATTAATCCATTCACAGTCAGATACACAAAGATCACAGATCACCAGAAAATATCACAGTAAAACAACTGAAAACAAAGTTAATAAACACAACAAAATCAAAACTAAAAACTTGTTCGATGTTTCTTCCTTCTTTTCTTCAACAGCTCAGTTAATGTCAGCAACCTCTACACTTCTTTCTCCCCACTTTTCTCTCTCTCTCTCTTTCTCTCTTTTCATCTCTCTTTCAAACCAGAATAATGACTCTCAGAGCCATCTATTATCTTAACAAATAACACTAACTGTGTATTCTCAACTGTGATTCAACTGTGATTCAACTGCAATTCAACTGTAATTAGTTACTTACTTTTTCTTAGCTGAAGGACTTTGATTAACTTGATCTCGTGGACGTTTCATCGATTAAATTTTTATCTTTCACTTGTTTTCACAAAAAATGGTTAATATCTTTCTCCTTTCAGATTAAATTAAGTCAATGTTTCATCGCAACTCGTCTAAACAATGATATCAAGTTATAAGTAGTGAGGAGAAAAAACATCAACAAAAACAACGGATTTCCAATATAACGAGTATATTTTAAGGCAAATGATGAAAATTAAGTTGTTAGCCGGTAAATTGTCCAATGGAGGTTCAATAAGTCACATTCAAATTAATCCAAGTGTCAACTGAACAAAGGTAAGTGGTTTTGGTAAATGGTAAAGTTGTCATACAAAATAAAATTTTATAGAAAGTAAATTAGACTAATGATTAGATAGAAATATATGTAAAAAAACAAAAGAAATGTTTTATAATGAAGAAATGGAATAAGTGTGTTTAAGAATCAAATCATGAAATTTATTTCAACAAACAGAAAGCAAATAATGTTAACTGAACATAGGTAAAAAGATAGAGGACAAAGCTTTTCAAGACATTCGATTGGGATGTTAAGTCCGAGAACTTAACATAACATCTGAGACGTTTTTCTCGAGATCATTAAACAGGGGCAACTCCGTCTAAATCTCTCTATCTTTTCAAAACAGAGTCGCTCCATCACAATCTCCATGTCTGTCTCTTCCGTTTTCCCTTTCTCCTTCTCTCTCTTTCTTCCCTATCTGTTGCTTCCTTTCCTTAGGCCTTATTTTCGACATCTGTCAATCGACTTCCATCTGTCTACTTCACGATGTTTCCCTCTATCGTTTGCTCCCTTTTTTTCCTCCTTACTCCATCTGTCTTCCTAACAGAGTTTCCTCTCTCTCTGTCTTCTTTCTCCCTCCATCTGTCTACCTTTACGCCGTTCTCCTTACGCTCAACCTTTCGTCTTCCTCCATTCTCATCTTCTTTGTACATTTATGTGTACCTTGAGTGGGTCAATTACTGTATAAAGTAAAGCCCATTTTTGGGAAAGCAACAAGAAGAAGGGAAAAATAGATCAACATCTTTGGTTACCTTTTTCTTAACTGATCTCACCTTAACCTGAAATAACCTTGGTCCATGATTAACGCCATTACTTTAAATGTCTACGACAATATTGTACACTAACAATAATAATTTTTAAATTGTCTAACTATTAGATGTTCAAACTAGTTTATCACAAGAAATACAATAAATATTACAACGACAATTCGTTAAAACCCAGATTATTTTGTCCATTGGTAATATTCAATTGTACATTATTTATTAAATGTTATTTTTCAGTTTCTAAGGACCCAATCTTCTTACGCTTTCATCTTCCTTATAAACCTAATATTTAGATTTTTCAATTACTATGATAAATTTGATTTTTTCCCAAATTCAAGAAAATAAGACCACAAAAGACATTCTAAAATATATTTTAATATAAAATTATATTCTCATTTTGTTTCATTTTTCTTAGGTTTCAATCAGAATCGTATTCATTGATTACAAATTTGACAAGCAACAAACGGATTTGGCGTTTATGGTGATGATGGTGGTGGTGATAATTGTGAAGGCTGTAAATGATGTTTGTGCATCATTCCTTCGGAAAAAAATCTGGTTAACTTTTCGATGTCGAAAAATCTTGGTTTCATCGATTTAACTCGCTGATGGCGCTGGATCTAATCATTATCAGAAACAAACCAACTCCTAATACCTCGGCCACCCGCTCTAAGAATGTCCCAAAATTCAACGAAACTGTTTCTGAAATTGTTCCATCTATTCCGTCCATAAGTTGCCACAGCATCTCGAAATGATGGGTCATCATCATCATCATCTGACTGTCGATGGTTCATATAACCAGGATTGTTTAACGTCTTACCCAACTGTCCTTGTAAATCTGGAAGATTCAAAGACCATATTTCGGGTTGATTACGCTGAGCTGGCGCACCTTGAATAATTAGAAATACATATCAAAGATCATTAGAAATTAAAAAATTTGAATTTCATTAAATGAACACAAATCAAATCCCAAAGTCAGATTTCTTTGTACAGCTGGAAAAACCGAGTTTACACCAAAATGTTCAACAAAAGCACATAAGGATTATTTTTGGTGTAAAAACATTATTTTTCCAGCTGTATTTCATACAATAACTTACCAATTGCATAGATACACAGTTTGGTCAATAAGATGATTGTTATAATTTGTATGGCTATTATTTTCATCATGTTTATGTCACAATTGTTGGCAAATCACTTGAAATGTATTAAAAAACAACTAAGCAAAAAATTAATCAAGAAAAAAGGTAAATCACTTTCCACTTACTCCAGTTTAAAGTTTATAACGATTCTGGTTTTATTTGGTGAATAAACCAACGGTCGTTGGATTAAAGATGAAAACATTAAGAGTGAACAAAACAAGTCACAAAATTAGTCACAGCAATTTGGTTAATCACAAGGCAAGTTGATTGCTACGATGAGTATATTTGTTTAAATTTGAAACAAATTTCAGTTTCATAGCAGAGTTTCATTGTTTGGCAAACTCAACCAAACACACCAAAAGTAATAACATCAATAATGGAAGGAAAAACATTTTTGCTTTTGTCTTTTTTTTCACAATAATAACTTCAAATCAATTCAGTTTATCTCAAGATTCATACAGATTGAAAGAAGAATTAACTTAATCAATTACCATCAGTAAATTAATAACACAAAATATATAAAAAGAGAGAAAGAAAGAGTTGATTAATTGATTGGGTTCAATTTCATGATCACTTTACCTTTTACAATACCCGAATCTTCAAAACATATCAAAGCTAACTCAGTGAATTGGAAAAAAAGAACGAAAAGGTAAAAAAAGGTAATCATGATAATCACAATTACAAGGTTTTGTTAAGAAAAGAAAAAGCAATTCAGCCATTTTGTCCGATCTACACCGGATAACTGTCTAAATAGCTATCATGGTAAATTTCAAGTTGGTTCATCGCTCCGTTGATTCAGGGATATCCTTCAAAAACAATTTTTGCCTTTTCCAAGATTTCACTTTTACCTAACCTTACTCAAGCCTTGCCGTAAAAATGGACCTGAATTATTAGCAATTTGTTTGAATACATTTTGGTTAGATAAATTGAAATACCAGTTTCATTTCATCTCAAGTCGCTCTATGATAATGTTTAGATTTACGAGTGAGATTATCAAAATCAATCAGCCATTCAGTTGGCTGTTGGTCGTTAAATGACGGAAAGTGGATGTTATTGAAAGATGAGGATAAAGGGAGAGATGCTTAAGCATTCTAAAGACGTTCACTATGATTGAGACGATGATGGATGAGATAGAGATGATGGTGATGATCATCATCAAAACTGATCATCACAATGGAGTCAAATGTTCACTTGAGTACAAGCTTTCATTCTTAGAATCATTTATCCTCATCTGATCTGGTTTTTTTTATTGTACTTCGATTATGACTTATATTGATGGGTTTGTCGCTCATTTTAACGCTTTTACATGTCATTATTTATTGTACCAAAAAGTTGCCGTTTTTTAGCCTTTTTTATGTAATCTTTGTTGTTTAACTAAACATTTAAACTAAACAATCAGCTTTACATATCATGGGAACAAATCAAAATCATTAGGGTTTACATTTGTAGTAATGAACTTTACCTCTTTTTCCCAAATCTATTGTTGAACGTTTACTGGGACCAACCTTGTTCAAAGCTGCTTCAGAGTCAAGAAACTTTAATGGATTACATGGTGTTACCCATGTCATTAGATTGGAAATATTTCTCTTGGAATTCAACCAAATATATCGCTGAGAGATCCATAAATTGTCAATACTGTATTTACAATTGTGACAACTAGCTAAGTTTCAAGTTATAAATATACATCATGAATTATGTGGATAATTGCTATTGAAATATTGTATTTCAAATGATCATTGGATTGTCACCATTTTTACTGTCAAGATATTTAAGGAGAGAAATTAGTTCATCCTGTAGGATTGTGCTACTTGTATGAACTTTACTTGTAGTTCAATGGTGATAGTTTAACTACAAATCATTGAAAAGGGATTTTCAATCAACATTAGTCACATTTCATTTGAGTTTGTAGAGTAACATATTCAACAGGCTCTATTTTAATGACTAGACTGGTTAGTAGTTTGCTATGGAAGCTGATTATATTAAGTTCATGAGAGGGCAATCAAAGCTTCTGTAAAGCTGATCAACTCAATTTTATCTGTTGAGCTCAATTTAATTTCTTATTGGATTTATTGAAAGGTTAATTTCAATTTAAAACAGCTTCTTGTAAAACTTGTTTACATTCAACTTGTACGGCTTTCAGCGTCGGTAAGTTTGATGGGATGACCTGAGATCTAAGACTTCTCAGCGGAAGGACAAGTTTTTTGTTACTTTTGATTCTATTTTCGACTTTAATTGAATATTGATGATTAGAATTATCTGAACGAATGAAAATTATATTTTCATTTTTTCTTATTAAGATTGTATTTAGTAACGTTAGAGGGCACACTTTTCAATCGTTTTTGTTGTCATTTTTTTGAAGCATGTGTTAAGTTGTTTAGTTGTTGAGTTAATAAATATTAGCTAATATTAGTTAGTAAATTTATTGTTGTTTATTTTTCTAATGGACTCAATTGACTTGAGCACTGGGGATGAGCCTGTAATGAAGGGAAATGCCGACACTAACAATGACAGTCCTTCCATTGCACGAGCTTCTGTCTTTCAAAAGACTCAATTGCAGGAGGAAGACAAAAATCTATTTACACACAAAGTTAATGGATTTAATTTTGATAATGGTATTGATTATCATGGATTATTGCAATCTTTCCGAACAACTGGATTCCAAGCTACTAATGTATCAATGGCAATCGATATAATCAATGAAATGGTGAGTAAATTCATAGTCATTTCGGGGTTCTCACTTAAGCCGATATTTCAATCGAATCATTTTCTCTTGTTTTTTTAAGTGGTTATCAAGGCGAGAACAATTTGCTGAAGATTTTAAAGAAGAGGACCAATTCATTCAGAGACGGAGTGGATGCACAATTTTTTTAGGCTATACCTCAAATATTGTTTCGTCTGGACTCAGAGATATTATTAGATTCTTGGTGCAGCATAAAATGGTAATAATTTATCTCAAACCCTGGACATTCTATCTAATTTGATAATTTTACGACAAACAACTTTTTCTCTAGGTGGATTGTATTGTTACTACGGCTGGTGGTATCGAAGAAGATTTAATCAAATGCTTAGCGCCATTCTATCTTGGAGACTTTAACTTGAAAGGTAGTGATTTGCGAGAAAAGGGCATAAATAGAATAGGAAATCTTTTAGTGCCCAATGAAAACTACTGTAAATTTGAAGATTGGATTATCCCGATTTTGAGTGAAATGTTGAAGGAACAACAGGAAAACGGGATGCACTGGACTCCATCAAAAATAATTAACAGATTAGGTGAAAAAATTAATAATAAACAATCTATTTATTACTGGGCTGCTGTCAACAAGATTCCTGTCTTTTGTCCTGGATTGACTGATGGTTCCCTCGGCGATATGGTATATTTTCACTCATTCAAGGAATCTGGCTTAATAATTGACATTGCCGCAGATATCAGGCGAATAAATACAATCGCTGTTAAAGCGCAAAAATCGGGAATGGTTATAATTGGAGGAGGAATTATTAAGCATCACATTTGTAACGCAAATCTAATGGTAATTTTTTGAATAAGGAATATCACTAATCATGTTTCATTAGTTTTATTCTTGCTCATTGCATACAGAACTTATTTCATTCCTTTTCATTATTAATTAATTTTTTTCCATCTTTTGTATTATTTTGCAGAGAAATGGTGCGGATTATTCTGTTTTTATCAATACAGCTAATGAATTTGATGGCAGTGATGCAGGAGCAAGACCCGACGAAGCTGTCTCCTGGGGAAAAATAAAATCTAATGCTAAATCAGTCAAAGTTAATTGTGACGCTACCATAGTATTTCCCTTGATTGTCGCTGAAACATTTGCCCGTTTTGTTCACAGCAGGGCTTGTAAATCTTCGGAAGTTTAATTTATTGTTTCAAATATAATCTTTTTTATCCATAATATCTTTTTCAGAGATTCAAAAATTGTTTCACTCTCATCTTAAAGAAGATTTGAAAATATTAAACACTGCTCATTTTATTTATATTTCAAAGTATTCAAATGCATCTAACAGTTTCTCTTGAAACATTTATCATTGAATGTTTTAAAAAACTTTCATTGTCCAGTTAAGAAATGAAAAAAAAACAATTACAATTTATGATTGAATGCTATCTACATAAAAGAAAAACAATACTTTAAGCTTCAGCACAATCTTTTTAAGTTATCGAATGGGAAATCTAGACTTGAAATTATAGTTGAAAAGATAGCTATCTCCCAAGAAATGAAACTTAATAGCAGTATTTACATTTAAAAATTACATCAAATTGCAAAATAAGAGAAATGGCTACATTATTCTTTGATTTGATTCAATTTTCAAAAAGTTTAGTTAAAAATTGCGCTCGATTTGCCGATATCGATACGAGTTATCATCCAAGCATGCATGAAGATACAATAATCTCTCTCATATTTGAAAAAGAAAGCACTAAAGTTTTGGCTTAAAATATCTTCTACTGAAATCAATGCTCCTTTAAAAGAGCCATCTGCTGGTTTGTACACCCATTTAGGATATTTGATAGGATTACTGTTTATGATATACGAAAGACTTTACCAGCTGATAAACATTTTGCCTGGCAAATTTTGTTCAACAATCCAAGCAAATTATCTTTTGTTTTAATTAGTCTTATTGTTTATTTAATTGTTTTATCATGTTTCTGTTTAATCGATCGACCATTCTTCTTTGAAGCAGACTCCAGGTTGAGTTTGCAACCTAGCATCGACGTGTTCAACATTTGCCGCATCAACGTTGACTATGGCGTTATTAAATCTTGAATTTCATCTTAGATTTAACTTTCCTGATTGCTGATTGTGTGAACTTTTTTGCAATATTTCTTATAATCAAATAACTTGACTTTTTATTCGCTTACATGTGCATATACTAGTTCTAATACTTCATAGAAGGCTATCTGTTTATAATCATCATCCGGTGTGATGCAGTTCATTGTTAAACCTACATCAACAAACCCATCAGTTGTTTGTAAAAAATTTCTCCGATTTCACTCAACAGTTGTTTTAATTACAATCGGTGGCTTAGCTCTTTTCTCAACGGGTTTTATGTTCGGGTTATTGTGGAATATGGATGGGTCATGTTCAAAATTCAAATCAATAGACGATGAAGCTGATAGAGAGATTAATCAAGATGCTGCCAGAAACGTTGGAGATGTTGAAAGTCTTGGAAAAGAGTTGACAGAAGTTGGACTAGCAAATGGTTTAATTCATTTATCTTCAACTACACAAAAACAAGATACAGATCTTTTAATTTTAATAATGAGTGCACCAGGGTATAAAGACCGTCGAGATGCCATTCGTCAAACATGGGTCAATTTAATTGATGATAGATTAATCAAGTATTATTTTGTTATTGGTACTCACGCTGGGAGTAAATTAGTGCTCGAACATTTAAGAAAAGAACAAGAAGACTTCAAAGATATCATCATTTTCCCTCATATTGATGATTCTTATTCAACTCTCAGTCAAAAATTACTGGAATCCCTTAAATGGACGTATTCTCGGTTTAATTACAAATTTGTTTTAAAAATTGATGATGATTCATTTGTGAGAGTTGATGCACTATATGATGAGCTCAAAACTAAAAAGTCAGATCATCGAACCCTTTACTGGGGCTATTTTGATGGGGATGCACCAGTTAAAAGACAAGGAAAATGGACAGAAGACAACTGGTTTCTTTGTGACAAATATTTGCCTTATGCTCTTGGCGGTGGTTATGTTATCTCTTCTTCATTGGTTAAATATATTGTTACGAATTCTCACCTTCTATCTCTTTATCATAATGAAGATGTCAACATGGGAGTCTGGTTAGCTTCATTGAACATTACACGTCAACATGATCCTCGCTTCGATACAGAGTATAAATCAAGAGGTTGTTCCAATAATTTTCTCGTTTCTCATAGACAGAATATCAATGATATGAGAGAAAAATATGATAATCTGAAACAATTTGGTGTCCTTTGTAAATCACAAGTGATGCTGAGAAAAGCTTATTTTTATAACTGGAAGGTTGCTCCAAGCTCTTGTTGTTATCGAAATATAAGTCTATTGTGATATTCTTAAAACTGTCTGAAAAACTATTTAGTCATTTATATTTTTCTTTGTTTTTTCGCAATCAACCAATTTAAGAGAAGATGAATTTTGTCCAATCTACTCAAAAGGATGGATTTTCCTCAAGATAAATCAACAGCTCATTCTTATCAAGCATCAACCTGGTTGATATATTCGTCCATGATTGATGGACTTCTATTAAGAGGGAAAAATTAACTACCAATATACACCAGCTCATACACTGTGATTACCATAATAAACAAAACAATTTTTTCGTGTCATAAACAAATTATCAATAGATTTTTGTAAAAAAATACACTTATTTTTGTGTGTAAATACTATTTTTGATCTTTATTTCGAAAATTTAAGAGAATGATAATAATAATAGCTTAACAGGTAAATTTGATTAGATAAATGACATAACTTACAGGCTTGAAGCGGTTAATCAAGACCAAGCATAGATAGTTGAACAATAGCATCAGTTGAATTTACAGGGAAACCCTTCACAGAAGGACCAGGAGATTGGGCTAACCGATTTCTCCAATGAGCAAAGACTGTTCGCAATCCAGAGACAACATCAGTCCAAAGATCTCCATTAACAACGGCATCAAATACATTAAGAACCACGGATGGGTCAAAATCGGGAAGAAAAGAGGTGCCATTCAACTGTTTTGGTATTGGATTATCAGCAGCAAAGGTAAAATCTGCTCGACTACAATTTGGCTCATCTTTTTGATCAGTATTGCTACTAATTTCTTGTTTTGGCTCAATTATTCCATTATCGTTTTTCGAGTGGTTTGATTCTCGTGGTAAAGTTGCTGTTAATGAATAGCCAATCAACGCCAAGTTTATTATAAGAATATGAAAAGAACAAGAAATTACTTTCATGTTGATGATAAACGTAGTGAGTTGAAAATCACAAGTGGGTTGTTTTCACAATTTTATAAAAACACTCTTCTCAGCTCAAATGGTAGGAGAAAAAGAAAATGAAAAGTGAACAGTTTGTTTTATCTGAATAAGAGTCAATTTAATTGCGTATCGAGTTCAAAAAATGCGGAAGAATTTATTGAGGTAAATTACAAGATATTCAGGTAGGCTACTGAAATTCATGAGATTCATTATTTTATCTAGTTTAATTTGTAATTCATACGATTATTATAAGGGACAATGAATATGAATTACTTTTAGTTACGGTTGATATTTTTTGTTACCGTTTTTTAGATTCGCCTCTAAATATACTAAAGACTCAGAACAATTGTACTTATTGGTAGATCCAACTTGAATTGTGTAGTCAATTAATCATTTAATTTCATAATAAGAAATTTTGATGTGCAACTGTAATTTTGTCTCAATTTTTAAGTTCATTTTATCGGAAATAACAAGGATTGGCCTTTTTCATTTTTAAGCAATATTTCAAATTTAGCATATCTAACGATTGAATGGCATTTTTCAATTTCAATTTTTCTTTAGTTTATTACGATGTATCGGCCGAATGGAGATTATCTAATGATTTAAAATAGCATTGCAGTTAAAACAAAGCTGAGAATTGGATCCATTTGCTTGTTAGTTGCTCGAAGTGAAAGGATGTTTGCAATATTACCGTTCGTGATGAATTATCTGTTGTATAACAAAAAAAACTGATAATCATGGACTTGCAGTTCAGTCAAGCTTTACCGAAATTTAATTTAAGTATTAGATTTTTTTAGCAAAGAGTACGACTGAATAACCTTCTGTGCACTTAACAAGTGATTTTACAAGATTCTTTTAAAGAGAAAAGTAAAATCATGAAATTTTCAATATGTTCAGCTCCAGATTCAACAACTCCTTAGCAACGAATTTTAAAATTTAGACTAACATCTGTAAATCTACCGACGAGTTTGATGATCATCCTCATAATCAAAGTCATTGGATTTAATAGTCATCAAATATTAGTAATATCAAGATTTTTCTCATCATTTCAATATGTAAAACTCAATACAAAATGTATATAAATGTATAAATGTTCCCGCTACTGAACATTGAAACAATATTTTAACATTTTCATTTCACAAATATTTTATTACATTGCTAACATTAAATTTTTACATAGGAAAAGGAAAAGAGAAAACAAGAAATATCTAAATGTTAAAAGTCAATAACAAAAAATTATGACCAACTAATTACTAGTTAATGCTAATTTTTGTTGAAGGAAAACTGGTTTTTGTTGTCTCTTTGAATGCTTCAAAAACAACATTTCATTGAAGTTAACGAAGACATTTAGCTGTATTAATAAGCATTTAAAATTAAAAATAGTCATCTGTTTAACTGTTTTTTGAATCGACAAAATTGAATTTGAAAGCGCAATATGATTTATCTAAACCTTATAATATTGAAATTCATCAATTGGATAAGCTGTAAGCTGAAATAATCACACGATTGGGTATTTTAAATATTTATTATAAAAATCAAGAGTAAAAATGTCTATCACAATGAATTATTATAGATGATTAATGGCATATATTTGTGATGTATTTCCTATTTAGTACAATTATGGTCAACTCATGGCCAGGACACTGAAAAATAACGAAACAATCGAATCAATTATTAAGTATGAAATTATCACTGCAAGATTTTTTTCTTCATCATTTCCGACCATTTTTTACATTAAAAGAGCAAGACTTGAAATGTATCAGTCTCAGCCTGGAAATGGTTTTGTATTAAACACAATAAAATGTGTACATTTATCATGAGCACCTATGAGTCGTAGGTTTGATGACTCTCTGGTCTCAACAAAGCTCTTGGTTTTCCAGAAATACGTAATAAATAACAGGTTACAATCAGTGAAGGACCAGGTTCACAGAAATTATGATTTTTGAATCTCGTGTCTCACCATTTTCGTAGTTTTCGTCGACTTTAGCAGTTATATGTTTTAACCACAATGATAAAATTGGAAACAATTAATGGAGAAATTTGATCATTTGAGTAGTTGATTAGACGAAAGTCAATCTTGTTTCAGTTTGTTCAGCAATCTTTCTCTGAATTAACTGATAATTTGCCCAATTTAGCAGTTTAGCTAAGATAAGCGTAAGTATTGTAGGTCAATGTTTAATTAGGCCTTTAACCCAATCAATGTAATTGGAAACTTTGGTGTAATAACCATATTTTCCTGTGCGACCGCAACCTTCTCCCCAAGAAACAATGCCTAACAAGTACCAACGATCCCCGGAAACCCCGACAAAAGGTCCACCCGAATCTCCTTTACAAGCATCGCCAATTATTTCTTGAGCATAACCAGCACAAAACATGTTATGGGTAACAGCAAATGACGTTGCACCTTTACAGGTTTCGTGATCAACGATTGGCATTCGTAATTCTTGTAGGTAACGGGGTTGAGGTCCATTCTCTTTGAGTTGACCCCAACCAGTGACATGACCCATCTTGATAGCTCGATGGTTATCCGTGAAAAAAAGTCCATCAACGATAGACTTTGATAATCCAACACAAACAGGTTTAATGTAATCAGTGAATATTATGTGATCTCTAACTCGTACCAAGGCTAAATCATTATCAAATGTTTCCGGGTTGTAATCAGGATGTTTGATGATATCTTGAATTTTTGTATTCAATTCTTGATCTTCTGTTTCTTTTTGATCAAATTTTCCCAAACGAACAACAATTGTGTCGAGTGGTGGCGGCGGTGGACTATACTTGTTCTGGGTGAAACAATGAGCAGCAGTTGCAATCCATCTTTCATTGAGCAAAGCTCCACCACAAAACGATTTACGGTTAACATCCCAAAACATTACTTGCCATGGAAAAGCACCTTTTTGCGCATCAACTCCACCAACAATTTTACCCGCTGAATCAAGAAGTGGCTTTTGTTTAGAAGGCAGTGCGAGGTTTGGCTTGCCACAGATATCTTCCACATTGGCACGTACATTAACATCTAAGCGAGCACCAGCCTGTGAAGTACAACTTGGGTCATCTTCAAGTCGAACCACACAAAAATAATGGCCACTGTCTTCCTTGGTTACCCCATTGATAACCAAATAACCATTTTTAAGTTTATCAACTCGAGAATTGTTTACCACTTTTTTACCATTTTTGGTCCAAGTGATGGTTACTTTACTGGCTAAAAGGCTGGATGAAATGGCATTACACTCAAATATTGTAAACTCTCCTTCAGATAATACACTGTCTCGAGGTCTTTTGCGAAATATAATCCGACAATCAGTGTTTTGTACTCTTAACCATGCTTCTGACGTGGCTGAACCATATTTACAAGTGTAACGACCAACATCTGATTGAGAAAATTCTCGAATCAACAATTTAGTGCCGTTCTCAGAAACACCATCAGTAATGAGCTGATTATCTTTGAACCATAAAATGTTTTTAACAGCATCATTATTGTTGTTGGCATTATCAGGGTTGTTGTTATTGTGCGTATTTTTCTTATTTTCAGTGATTTGGAAGCGATTAGGTGAATTTACAGGGTGACATGAGAGGAGATGCGATGAACCAGGAATAATTGATGCATTTTGAGGAGTTTCAGTGAAAAATTGAACTGGTTTCGGAGGTTCATCAGAGTCACTTTGAATAAAGTTATAGCGAGCAAAGAAACCTTGATATTCACCAAGAGAATCGGAAACAAATCGAAGTCTCAAAACTGGTCCACCCGAAAGGTATTTAAATTTAGATGACTTATGACCACAGAAAACTTTAGTTGGCTCCTTGGACATTGGAATACCATTGGATTGTAGACTAGATGATAGATAAATTGGGCCTCCGTGTCTATCTGGTGGCTGATTATTGGTGGAAGTGCTATGAGAAGGTTCGCTGATCGCATAATCATCATAAATCTCGAGACGATCAAAGGTACAATTGTTATCAATCTCCATGTGAAATGATTCAAAGATGAGGACAATCTTTTGATCAGGACGGGGAGATTTTAAAATGAGTGAGCAATCTTTATTCGGTGGGTAAGATTTAGGATGCAATGGTGATGATAAGGTCATTGCTGTTTCATCGGGAATCCAATCACAGTCAGATATGGAGGACCTTGAAAGAGCTGCTTCGACCTTGTATGAAGCTTTAAAACCTTTTAAATTAAGAAGTTGATCAGATTTAAAATGAACCAAAAGATAAGGTCCTTTGGCATGGATAGCTTTAAAATTATTATTGGTTAAGGATGGTGAAGAAGAAGATGATGATGATGATGATGATGAAGATAAAGGTGAAGGTGAAGGACCACTATGATGGCGGACAAGGGAATGTTGATTTGATGTTGCCCTAGCATCTGGCATATAATCAGTGGAGCGATCAAGTTTATTAATGGACTTTTCATCACAAAATTTACCCAAACTTTTAGTGGGCTTTTTAGTTACTCTATCAACTTCAAAAAATTCAACAAAATCATAGGCACATTGATCGTCAGGTTCCAGTTCAATAAAATCGAATATCACTGAAATGGTCAGATTCTCAGGACCTCCACCGCTTCTGGATCCAATGGCTTCCGCACCATTAACAAAGGTATTTGCGTTAATCAAAGTCCAACAATCGGTTGAATCTGGATAATTTTTGGGAAACCCAGGGGAAGTTATTTCACCTGAACTGGATGCCTTTACTTCTGGAGTACAATCATCCACCTGTGAATATAATTCCAGATCAAACCCACGATCTTCATAGTTGGAGTCTGTGTGAAAAACAATCACTAAACTTGAACTATTGATGAGAATTTCTTTATTCAGAATGAAACCACAAAGTTTTTTATAACCACGAAGTTCAAGATAATCATATGGACAGTCAACTTTATCCTGTTCAATTTCAAGATGTTTCACTTTGACACGAATGGATGGTTCTTTGTTGGTGAAATGTGATCGAACCGTTGATATAATCCAAACACATTCAACATTGGGTGGGTATTTGTTACCCTCAGTCCAACCTGGGGAAACAATTGAAGTAGTCAATGAACTAAGGGTAATATTTCCTCCACAAGAATGAGATGATAAAAATGGGTGAGTCTCTTTCGGGGCTTTGGCCACATTGATTGACGCAAAATTGCTATTCGTTTGTCCCGGTCTTGTAGATGAAACCGTGCTGGGACGATGTGTAGACAAAGATGATTGTGTTGGAATTATATGAGTATTAACATGATGATCAACCGATTCTAATGGTGATCCTGTTGGTGTTACAGAAGACGATGAACTAGGACCGGAGGGAGGTCGAGTCGATCGATTCTTTTTTTTAACAGTTGTCCTGGTTGATACTTCCCCAGAGTACAAAGATGATCCTGTCACAGCAATATCTTGTGGGCGATTTTTGGAACTCTCAGTCACTCTTCTAATTTCCTTGTCATCTTCTCTATCATTAACCGGATCTCTATCATCATCTCTTTCATGGGAACCTTCGTTAACAATACCAAGAATGGGTTCTCTTTGATTTTTCATCGGCCTTTCCTTTTTCTCGGGTCTTTCCTGCCTTTCGTCCAATATTTTGGGCTCATGTTTAGCTGATACTCCATCAGCGTCAAGATGAGAGGAAGATGAATGTGTCCTCGATGGCTGTTTATTTATTTGTAAATTTGAATTGAATTTATCAGCATTCCGGCTTGAGTCAATGTAGGCAGCTCTATTGCGAGCCTCAAAGGTTTCAACAGAAGATGAAGTTGAAAGGAATGAAAAGTTTCTTCCATCTCTTTGGCTATTAACGATCCAAAAATGTACATGAGAGAGAGAAGAAGGTAAAAAGGAAAGAAACAAGATAAAAATGATTAATGTTGAACCAAAAAACAAGGTAAGAAACTAGTTGAGTTTATAAACTCACTGATAACCCTTTAGAGTTCAAAGCGATCAAAGACTTAAAGGCAACATTCAGGGATCATCTAGTCATATCTAAATGCCCGAATGATTATTCAAAATTATATTTTTTTAATCGTCATTTTAAGCTTGATAAATTCATGATTACCAATGAATCAGGATTGTTGCGTTAACATGGTGAAACCATTAAAAATGGCGGACAATATTTAACCATCATCATCATTAACATCATCATGACTATTCACAGTTACTGTAACAATAATTAGCAATTGAAAGTCGCTGTGGTTTTTTGGGTAAAAAATGATTTCAACTAACCAACCATTTTTTAATTTTGTTTACAACAAGGTCAATCAATCAAGGTTTGTTCAATCATGTTTATATCAAATAAAATTGAATTTAGATTATATTGAAAACCCAAAAATGATTAACTTAGATTTCAACTGTTTTACTTATGGAACAGGTAAAAGCTGAAATAAATCAGAATGGACAATCATTTAGCTGACAATTTCAACAATATTTTTTGCCCAACAATCAACAATATTGATTAATAAACTATTTTCATTCAAGTATTTGCTTGGAATCAATTTCATAACAATTATTGACTATCTTCAAACCATAACTTGTTGAATAAACTTGTTGAGTAGGTTTGCAATTCTGTAAGTCAGTAGGTGAATAGTTATAGATCAAATGTAATATTAGATTAAACCAGGATTCCTGATTAATCTTATCATAAACTGAATTAGAGTTAAAAATACTTAAAATAATCTTGTTGATTGGATAAATAATCATAATCAAGGGCATGATAATGTTTGAAAACAAATGTTGCTGTTGAAAATACTAAACAATGTGCCATCGATAATACATTGAAAAGTGGATTTACTAGCAATTTGGTTTAGTGGATTATTCAAAATGTTTGATATTTACATATTCAAAAGACAATATCATTAACTTGACATGCTATTAAGAAGTCAGTTATCAATAGATCACCATTGAAACTATAACTGTCAGCAGTAATGGTAAGTTATTGATTTAGGATAATAAAAAGGAAACATCAGCTTGTGATTGAAATATAATTATTATTGTTTTATTGTAACGATCAAAAGTTGAATAAGCCAATTCTTAAATGGATCACATAAATTAACATTAGATGTATATAAACAGGCAAAGGAAAGTTAATAAAAAGACAATAAGTCAATCAAAAATTAACCTTTAAACTAGGCCAAGAGTGGAGTTTAATTATTCTGGTATGGCTGGTGAACAGTCGTTTTTGCCATTGAGGGTAAATGGTAAAGAAATAGTATCAAAATAAAAGGTAAATAAAGGCTTGAAATGTTTCTAAAAGACGATAACTCTTGAATTGAATGAATACTCTGTGGGTGATCAGATTGCAACATAATTTTGAATAGGTAAATGTAAAGAACCCAGAAATAAAGCAAAAAAACCTGTTGGTCAATAACATTGAGTCAACATTTCTTTTACATATGAAATTAATAAAGGCTGGCTGGTTATTCATTGAGGGTTAACAATGTTAGGGATAATGATAGTTGGTAATGATGTAAAAAGAACTGAAAAAACACCATCAATTCAACAATGAGATTGGGAAAAATGTCAACAACAATCACTTACCAGTTGATATTTGAAAGTAGGATAAGTATTGAGAGACAGTTGATTCCAATGCGAAGATGTGATTTGGGTAAAATCATAGTTATACGGTTTGATTTGAAATCATTAGAAGAGGATAATTGTCCAACAATGGTTCCATTAGAAAGTAGGTTAATTAACAATTAATTGGATGTTGAAGAGCAAGAGGCAAAAATTAGAGGGAAGATGGTGAGATGGTGAAAATGGATAGATACATGAATGGTTTATGTACAGCGAACAGGTTAAAAGCACGTCAATGTTTGTTTCTTGTTGTCTTGATTTTAAAGATGTTGTTGAGTGAAACCAATGGTGTTGGTAAAAATGATGAGTGAACAATTATGGTTAAAGTAATCACTAAATAATTCCATATGCACTTGATTGGTAATCAGCAAGAACAATCGGCGTTAATTGGTAAGAAGGATGAACAAGGTGAAGTTGAACACATAAACAACATGAGAAGTAAAAGAGCCACTAAAAGATCAACAACAGCCACTGGAAGGAGAGAGAAAGAGAGAGAGAGAGAGGAAATTGGTTGTATCAACGACAAGCAAAGGGAAGTTTTTTCATTTCTATTGGAATCAATGGAAACCGGTTTCGTGTTTTGTTTTTGCTTGATTTGCTGATTAAGTAATCATGCAAACTGGACTAATGTGAACACTAATGGCTTTAGCTTTGTCCAAGAGTCAACACAGGTAGCGATCAGTGGACTTATCGATGTATCAGGTGTGAATGGGACAACTTTGTTTACAGGTTATAACCTAAACACCATCCATGTTGGTGATCAAGTAATGGTAACATTAATGATTAATTTCAATCTTTGATTGCTGTGAAGGAGAGAGTGAAAGTGAGTGCATGACTGAAGAGAGGCAAGGTTGGCTGGTTGATACCATGTTGATCAGGTTGTTTGGTTGACATCGAGGAAAAGATGATTTTAATTAAACAGTCTTGAATTTCATTTGAAACTGCTTTATGATGGAAACGGGTTAATCTTACTCCAGCTTTGTTTCATTGTGGAGATGACTTTGATATTCATGGGAGGACATGTATTTGAATGTTTATTAAAACATGAGTGCTCTGGTTTGTTATTTAACTGGATACGCAATTTACTTTACCAGGAATGGGGTGACAATTTAAATTATTGATACTTGAAATGGAGAGAAAAATTGAAAAAAATTTCTTTACTCAAATATCAAGGTTGAGAAACTTGAGTTGTCGTTGGTATTTTGTTTTATAACGATTAAGATGATTCAAGGTGATTCAAGAATCAATGTTAGTTTCATTTTAATGATAATTTCTCCTTTCATTTTCCATCCATCTATCATTTAATCCAATTTTCAAACATTCATTCAATAAAATGATCATATTCATCATTGATGTTGAAAAAGGGCAATGAAAGGTAAACTTTAATTGCAAGGTGAAAAATTGTAATTTTTTTAAGGAAATGTATTGGGATATCCCTTTATCAACTAATGTAATGGGTTTTATATTGAATTTAGGTTTATGTTAATGAATGTGATTTAATGATGTTTAGTGATTATCCAGACAAAGATCAAGTTTGTGAGTAAAGGAGAGAAGAAGTTGTTTGCTTAAGGATATGTCAAAGTGAAGGTAAAGGGTAGAGGCACTTGTTTTAAAATCCAACCGGACAGTTTTAAATGCTAGTTGTTGTCAACGACTTTTAACCAGTTTAAAAGTTTAAAAGATGAAGTAGCATTTCACAAATACTCATTATTGACAAAGAAACCTCCAGAGACAGGAAGGGAAGGGTTAAGAACGTGGTTCTTTACTTGACTAGTGTCACTTTAAAAGGGATATTTTCGCCATTTAAATGTATCCACATTTTTACTCTTATGAAGGTTGGATCTGTTTTTTATTTTAGCCGTTAATCCATAGATTTTATTATCAAATTTAAAATTATTTTCTTTTGATTAACAATGATTCTTCACAAGGCAAACCTTCAACAGTCGACCACAGCATTTAAGGCTGAAAAATTTCAAGAGATTTTATAAGAAATTTATATTTTTATATTTTAAAGAAAATTTTTTATAAGAAAATATAAAAAATAAGAAATTAAATCCCATGTATTCCCATTGTAAATCATTTCCTCAGGTAGATTTAGTCATCTAAAATAGTCATTTCCAGGTCTGTATGGGCAAAAGATGAGTAATATTTATCCAAGACCATTCGATGTTGTTCAACAATTAGGAAACTTGAAGATTCAGATTCTAAAATATTATTGACATCTTGAATGAGTCTGATCCATCTTAATTGTTGTTGGACACAAATAAATCAATAATCAAACTAACTGATGAAATTGTTGCTTTGAACGGAGTATTTATACAATAATTACAATGAAATAAAAACATTTTTTGATTTTGATCGAATTCATTTGAGTCATGATTCATGAATCATGAATTTAAAAAACAGCGGATAAACTAACCGCCATCTATGTAACGTTACATAAATCATTGTTATTAAACTTTGAGAAAGTGGCGCCTCTATACACATTTCTTCATTCACAGTTGGCGCCAATTGTATGAGAAAGAAAACGTTAACTCACAAATACAAAAAAAAGAAAGAGGAACATCGAAACACAAAAGATTACTTCCTTTCCAAATCTTGTGAGTGTCAAAAATTGAAAATATCTGCTTTTTATCCTAATTAACTAATCATTTATCCTTTCAGTTAAATTAATCTTATCATATCTTTTTTCATTGTTTTATCACACTTTATTCAATTCCTTTTATTCAAACATCTTTACAGTTTTATTTTATTTTATCTTCAGTGTGTGTCCTCTAGTTATAAATATTAGTTATTTTAATCTATAACTTTAATTTTTTTTGTTACAACGTTGCTCTACCTCTTTATTTTTTATCATAAACATCATCTTTATTATTCACCTTCTTCGTTTTCACCTCTGTTTTCAGTAACTTTTTTCATCCTGTTTTCACATTTATTGGAAATTTGTTGGCAAGGTAGAGATAGAGGGAGAGAGGGAAGCTTTTTAAGATTTAAACCGCTAATCATTTAACTCACCTGGTCCATAGATTTTAACATTTACGCAAATTTTTCTCACTCCCTCTATATTATCTTCTCTCTGTCTCTCACCTTTTTCATCAATTTTTCTTCCATTTTTCCCTTTCACTCGATTTATCAGGAATTTACTTTTAGTCATTTCTATTTGCTGAGATCCATCTCTGGTAGCTTTAAGTAGTCATTGAATGAAGGTCGTACTGGTTACTATATTCAGGCCACCTTCCATTGTTTGATCCTAATTATTTCATAAATTGATCATCGTTTTAAATGGTGATCAGTAAATCACCATCTATTTATTATATTAAACGATTGTTTGTCGCGCTTGTTGACTTTGAAATTAAAAAGAAAGACATATTTGTGGTGCCATCTACACAAACAATTAAGTCCGTCAATTGCTACAACACTAGTATCCACTCTTACTCTTTGTAGTCGACCAAGTGTTGTGACTTCTGTTTGTTGGTTTTAGTCTATGTTGTAATTACAATCATGGATACTATTGAAAAGAAAACAGTTTATGATAAAGCCTTCATTCCACCTTCACCCAGTTCAGTTACACCAACCAAATCCAAGCATCGGTTTGAAACCTCACTTGGCCAATTAACCCGGAGGTTCATAGCATTGCTTAAAGATTCTCAAGATGGGGTAAGTAGAAGGAAGTTGAATTTCCTTTTTGACCTGATATTTTAGAGGTTAATAAGGCTAATAATGGGTATTTATATTGAACAATCCTTAGTCTATTCTAGAGTAAAACCCATCGCAGGTTTCTCAATGCCACCTTTTCATTATTCATTTTTAAAGACCCATGCGTTAGCCTTTTAATTAACCCATTCTCCTTGTACTCTTTGTTATTTTTTACTTGTTCCTAAAAATTGATTGTTTTGTTTTTGGGTAATTGGATTCTATGCTTCTAGGTTCTTAATTTAAACACAGCATCATCGGTTTTGAATGTACAAAAGAGACGAATCTATGATATCACCAATGTGCTTGAAGGTGTTGGCCTGCTTAATAAGACGAGTAAGAACAATATCAAATGGAACGGAGGATCACTTGATTCTTGTCTGGGCCCATCAAATGGTTGCCCAGTTTCACCGTTGACCGGTGGGCACAATAGTGCCATCAACAATAATCAGATTAGCCATTGCAACAGCCATAATAATGCATCTGGTACTAAGATTACCAGTAAAATGGATCTAGAAAAGGAGAATGCCATGTTAGAGGAGAAAGAAAAATCTCTTGATGAGGCTATTAAAAAATTAACTGCTGAGCTTCAGAAGGCCTCCGAAGATGAAGAAAATAAAAAATATTTATATGTGACATACCGAGATATGAGGTATATTAAAGAGTTCTCTGATCAAACTGTGATAGCCATTAAAGCACCTTCAGAAACCAAATTAGAAGTTCCCGATCCTGCGGAGGTAAGATTTTTTTTCTCCCTCGCATATTTACCTCTTATATTCAATATGTTTTTTATCTCTTTCAATATTACAGAGCTTACAAATATGGCTCAAAAGTGATCGAGGAGAAATCGAAGTTTATTTATGCCCTGATGATGACGGTACAATCAATGAAGCTAAAGGTGAACTTACCCACACAGAGGCAGTCGTTAAAACAGAAATTAAAACAGGTAAATTTATTGTGCTTTCTCTAGTCCATCAGTTCCTTAAAGCTTATTCATTCTCACTGTGTTTTATCCTTTCACATTCTCTTCACTCATCTTTTGTGCATCAGACATTTCAGTGGATACAGGTATCGGCTCTAGCCTTAAATCAAATCTTGCCTCAGAGACTGATGATTTTGGATCTACCTCAGGCCAAAATTATCTAATCGCCATTCAAGATCATACTTATGGTATCAGCAAATCAATGGCATCTTCCTCTCATGATACCTTTATGACAAGCAGTACAACCGGAAATACACTGTCCTCTCCAATCGCATCAAGATCGATGTCAGTTGTTTCTGAATTGCCATTCCTTCATTTAGAGCCACCTCTTTCAGAGGAAGATTATAACTTTGCCTTGGAAGAGAGCGAGGGTATTGCAGATCTTTTTGATGAAATGTTACCGGTATAACTAATCTTAGAGAGAAAGTGAGGTTAAATGATCACCTCTCTCTCTCTCAATATCATCACTCTAAATTCAATCTCCCCTGAAAAGCCATTCTAGCCTTCTATCTTCATTCTTCTCTGTCCTCTTTCCTCCTTTTCTCATTCTCTTTACCATACTCTTTCCTCTCCGTTCTTGTGTCTCCTCTTCTTTTTCTGTCACACTCTTTTCCACCTCAACTACAAGAGCAACACCAATTGTCGCTTCCCAATTATTAACTATAACATTATGTAATCAATATTAATTACATTTTGATTTTAAACTACATAATAATTAAGCTAAATAAATTAGTTCTCATCGCTTTTAAAATTACACCCTCTTTGTGACTCTGTTGTTACACGTATGTCTTTTCACTCGATGATCTATTCAATTCAGTTACTCTTCTCATCAAATTACCACCAATTGGTCAAAAAGGTCAACATTACTAATTTAAACTTCTGTCTTACATAATCATCTGTAAATGAACCTTAAAATTAGTCTTGATCAATCATCATGACTAAAACCTCATATCAATCTGATTCTCAAGATTTATTCCTTTTCTTTGTGATGTATTATCAGATGAAAAGTCAGCAATAGCAATTCGTTGATTATTTCCTTACTTTTAACTGTAAACACAATTCAACGCCATGGTATTCATGTAATAGATATAATCCTCTCAAAAATTATCAACATGATACTTAACCCAATTATTTACTTTGAACGGATTTTCTTTAAAAACTTAACCATCAGCAAATTTGTTCAACTTAGTAATCAATCGATTAACTATTGACCCTAATGATTGGTTAAAGAATTAAAAAAATTTATTCCACCAAATCATAGATATATTCTGGTTTAACATAGCTCAAGCCTAAATCGGAAAACGGTTGATCCTATGATAAACAATCTAATAAAAATGCAAACAGATTTTTTTATCACCAATTTAAATTAACCACTATCATTAAAGTATACATTTGACTAATCAGTGGTCCATATCCGTGAAGCCCATTTTACCAAAATAACAAGGAACCAACATGGAGTTCAAGGGAAAGAGAAAGGAAGAGGATTTGGAGAAGAAAAATAAAAAAGATGGAGAATTTCGGTTGTAAAGTGACTGTTGAGTTGCTTGTTTGTCTCAGTTTTCATTTTTAAATTTGATAAACTAGATTTAATCATGATGATTCAAAATTTACAGTCTCACAATGAATCACAACTGGAGGTGATGTATAAGAGTGAATTTAAAAATTAAAGAGACAATTTAATCCAACAGAGAAATATGAGAAAAATGCAATTTGAAAAGCAAGATTAGAGAGAGCGAGAGAGAGAGGAAAAAACTACCGCCAAAACCAAAAGTGAAACAAAGAGTTTATACAAACACTGATTACAGGCACTTTAAACATTCATTTACAATTAATTATCACCACAATAAGTAAATAGATAAATTGAGCAAATCCTAGAGAGAAAATAATTAACTAACGGAAAAAATTAGTGTAAATAATTAAATAATAGGAAAATTATGACATTCAATAGATCTGGCTAAAGCTGGTGAACCTGCAACAGAAAACCAGAAATGTGCAAAGAAAATACCAGATGATTTTGGGTTAACATATAGAAAGGGAAAAACACATAAAGAGAGAGAGAGAGAGGAGAGGAAAAAGTTGTCAGGCAAGTCCAGTTAATTGAGCAAATTCTTCCTTGTACATAGGATGATCTTTACCATGGGTAATTTGAATAGCTTGTTGTAATCGATTAATTAAAAAAACAAGTTCGTCACTATCTTGGGGTCCATTAACAATGTTGGCTCGAATTTTGGCTAAACGCATCAATTGAACAGTGAAATCGGCGTAATAGGTTTTGTATATTTTTTCATACAAAGGTAATGTTTTCAAACCCATTGTAAATGCTTTTACCCAATTACCTGATTCAATATAATCATCAAATTTTTCATTCAGTTCAATTAAACGACGTCCAATGGTATCCTCTTCATCTATTGAGCAACGAGTACAGGTACAATCAAAATAATATTGGTCTTTTAATTTGAGCAGTCGTTCGTCTCTTGGTAATTTCAAGTCGATATAGGTTATGGTTGCTGGCTCCTTCAAGCTGTCAAAATTTCGCACGCAACGTATTGATAGTTTAACACCATCAAAAATGGGGGAACAATTAGGCTGACAATCATGGTCAAAAATTGATGCTGACATGTAGAGACCTGTTCCTATTTCGTTGAGAGATATGTTCAAGATTGAAAATGAATTAATAACAATTTTACCGAATGTTGAGAAAAATTGATTCGCATCAACATTCAAACTACCAATACAACAAAATCTGTTGAAGGTTTCTTGAGCTAAATACCAACGAGTCGATTTTTCATTCAATTTAATATCCTCTACATGGTCCATTAAATCATTGAAACACCTTTCCTTTTCATTGTAAGTTTTGAACATTTGAGTTGCTCTGGCAGGATTCTTGGATATTATAAATAACAAGCGCAAAAGAAGTCGTGTGAATGGGGCTCGAATAAATAGCTTTGAATCCCGATCAATATCTAATTTGTACTCTTTGCATTCATATTTATGAGCAGTCTTCCAGTCGGATAATTGGCATCTTTTGTCACAATAGTACATCCATTTACAGTTGGAACAGCGGCTAAGAGATTCACTAGAAAAAAAACCAGATGAGGAAAAAATCAAGTTATAGAGCTAGATATAGTTAGAAAATTCTTCCGTGTAAAGTGATAAAACTAGGCGAAAGAATCATTAATTATTAGATTCAGATCGAATGATAAACATCTAAATAATGTATTTTTAAAAAAATTGAACTATTACCATAATTTAAAACAATAATCACATCGTTCTCCTTTAAGGTCGTCATTCAGTACATGAGCAAAAGGTTCAGATTCATCGACAATATCACCAACTTTGAATAAACCCATGACCATGGAGACATTTAAATTACTCAAACGAAGAGGTCAATCCTTGCAATTAAAGCGAAAAAACTGATTTAATATGAAGGACATTTAATTTATTGTTATTTAATTTAAGGATAAGTTTAAAAGAAAAAAACCGGGAAAATGACAGAACAGCTGTTTTTGATTGTTTACAACTTCTGTCTCTCTGACAACCAGAAAATAATCATTTTTCTGACACAGTTCGATAAAAGTGAATCGATGTATCGTTTCTCAACAAATTTGTTTTATTTTCACTTGAAAAAAACTTTTGTTCCTATTTATTTAAACCTTTAATTGATTCACTTTAATCATTATTCCTTGAGCTGAATTCTTTGAAATTAGAAAAGATTAAATTCAGATTGCTCTAAAAGTGGAAAATGAAAAATTCATTAGATAAGCATCTAATGAAGGTTAGTATCTATTAATACTTTTGATGAGCATTAAAGACCTATAATGCAATGTTAGTTAAGGTGAATATTAATCGCAGGTACAGTTAATTTAAAATTATTACTAATCGATTTCATAATTGTTTGCTTAAATAATAACTCACTGATTAACAAAAATAAACTTTTAAATGAAAGGATTCCAATTCCAATTGACGGATCAAACGTTGAACCAGATTTGTAAAACCAGGAATGCAGGATTTCAAAGATTAAATCAAACAGAAAATTTTAACATAAATTAGGAACTGAACAATGTAACAATGAACAGATTATGAGCTAAATATAAGGAAATATTTCAGGCAATTTATTGAATCTCGTTCTAATAAAATGTTTAAAAATTACCGGGAAAATAGCTCTAATTAAAGCTGGGACTGTTCGATGTAAAATCGATATAAATCGATTAATTGAGAGCTCGATCCGATCTTCTTGTTGAAAGATTAATCGATACTAGGGTCCATCTTTTCTTTTTATTAACTTTCAAAGTTGAAATAACTTATTTTTTTGTGGATTGAGTTGTTTTTTATTGACTATTAGTGACTAATTCAGCATCTGAAGGATTTTTTATACTTATCGGTAAGTAACAAAACGGATAATCAGGACAATTATTGTCTGGAAAAAAGTAAATAAATAAAAATACATAAACAATTTGTTGTTTTTTTTCTAGGCAATGACCACGGTTGAATTGAATCGATCCGAGAGGATCAGAGCTGCCCTTTTTGATGACGAAGCAAGTGATATTTTATACCAGACTTGTATTGATTCAAAATCACAAACTTGTGTCTTAAGACTTTCGGAACCAGCCCAGATGATCAAATTAGCTATTGAAGCTCTTATAAATTACCAAAATGACGCAGATTTAGCAACTAGTGCTGTTCCAGAGTTGCTTAAACTTCTGAATGATGAAGATGAGGTTGTTGTGAGTAAAGCAACTCTTATGGTTCATCACTTGAGTCAAAAAGTAGCATCTCGACATGCACTTATTAACTCGCCACAAATGGTATCTGCCTTATTGAGAGCTATGTCAAATTCTGAAGCTGAAACAACAACATGTGCTGCCAGTATTTTGCATAATTTGTCACAACACCAGCAAGGATTACTCGCCATTTTCAAATCTGATGGAATATCAACATTAATTAAACTACTTTCATCCCCAATAAATCGAGTTGTGTTTTATGCTCTAACTACTATTTACAACTTGCTGCTTCATCAAGAAGGCTCTAAGACGGCTGTCAGATTGGCTGGAGGAATCCAAAAAATGGTTTCTTTATTGACCCATCCTAATCCTAAATTCCTGGCACTTTTAACCGAGTGTTTGACATTATTGGCATTTGGAAATCAAGAAGCTAAATTGATAATTTTAGCTTCAGATGGAGTACAAGAGATAATAAATATCATGTTGGTGCACAAATATGAAAAGTTATTATGGACCGCATCACGACTGTTGAAAGTTTTATCTGTTTGTCCAAGTAATAAACATGCAATCATCTCAACTGGTGGAATATATGCACTTTCTATGCACTTGGATCATCCAAGTTCTCGTTTACGATTGAGTTGCCTTTGGACTCTCAGAAACTTATCTGACGCTGCTACTACGATTCCGAATCTCGACCATCTTCTTCAATCACTTGTTAAATTTTTGAATGATGAAGATTTGAATGTGGTTATGTGTTGTTTGGGAATTCTTTCTAATTTAACATGTAACAATAGACACAATAAGCTATTGATCTGTCAGCTTGGAGGTATTGAAAGATTAGTTTTAACAATGAAGCAAACAAGAGATCAGGAAGAGATCCTTGAACCTGTTATTTGTTGTTTAAAACATTTAACTCACCAACATGATGAAGCAGAAATAGCTCAAAACGACGTCCGTCTCCATGATGGTATTACTTATATTGTTAATCTTCTCAGTCTTCCTATTGGTTGGCCTTTAATTAAAGCAATCATTGGTTTGATTGCAAATTTGTCTCTCTGTCCAGCAAATCAGGCTCCTTTGCGCGAATCACAAGTTTTGCAAAAGTTGAACCAACTTTTAGCTAAAGCACAACAAGAAAGGGCTAACATGAATTCTTCTACAGCTTATATGGAAGGCGTTAAGATGTCTGATATCATTGAAGTATCCATGGAAGCATTTAAAATCTTAGCTCGAGATGTTCATAATAGAGCAATCATCATCGAAATGAATCTGATACCTACTTTTGTTCAATTCTTGTATTGTGACGAAGAGAATCTTCAACAAGCATCTGTTGGTGTGCTTAGTGAATTGGCCCTTGAAAAAAGAGCTGTCGATATTATTGAAGCTGAAGGTGCTACTGCGGCTCTTACTGAACTTCTCCATTCAAGAAATGAGATAATTGCTACATTCGCTGCTGCTGTTTTGTATCGTATGTCTGAGGATAAACCACAAGATTATAAGAAACGACTCTCTTTGGAATTGAGTGCAACTTTATTCCGCGATGAACCTAGTAATTGGGCAACATCAGCTGGCGAAACTGATATGCCGCATGCAGAATCTCATTATGGCTCGTTGGCTGCTCCATTGAATCCATATCCTCAATCTATTTATGTTCAAACCACATCGGACATGGATGTCAATAATCCTTACTCATCTCCCTACTATCATGAAAGTCCAACTCAAGTTGCCAATCAAGATCAATATTCGGCCTGGTACGACACAGATCTATGATATGATTGGATCAGGTGATGGTGATTTAAATACAATCAGTTTAACGACATTTTAAAATATTTATGCAATAATGAATCGTGAATTTCTACCCTTGTTTTTCAACCTTATTGATTATTATTGGATAAATGTTTGCTCAATACAACTTGCACTTTTTCTTAAAGGATTAATAAAGCCTAATGAATTTATGCAAAAAATTTCAATAGCATAAATCTCACTGTTTATCATTCATTGTATGGTATTTTATTTTTATAAGCAACCGATTTATAGGAAGGCAATGAATAAGCCATTGTATTGAATAACAATACTTGCATTCCATTGGAAACTAACAATTGTAAGATTAAAAATTTAGATTAAAAATCGTTAGCAATATTTCATTAGCCTTTCAGAGAATATTTGGAAAAAATAAGGAAAATTACAATTTATTGCAAATTAAGAGAATTTTATTCAGTTTAAATAAGATAATTTTAAATTAAAGTGACCAACAATCATCATGGAAGTAATTATCAATAAAAGGGAAAAAATTACAGTCAAAACCTTTGATAACAAGTAAATTCCGTAATTTGAGTTTTTCTTTAGTTTGAATTACGTCTTTATCTCGAATTGATAGAACCACAATTTTTTCTGCTCGGTGTACACTCAATGATCCATTTTCGCTTAAATCCACTGAACCATCAAAAGTAACGTAAATGGCGTTTTTAAAAGATTTTTTCCCCTCTGGAGACTGGCCTTTACTTATGTTTTGCCTCATCTGAGTGAAATCGTCTTCCAACATTTTGAAAGATTGACCTGAACAGAAAGAGAAAAATATTTTGTTTGAGAAATAAGTTAACTCAAAGATTTAATTTGGATTTTGTTCTTTTACCTGATAGTTTGTAAAACTTTTCGTTGAATTCAACACGATGGTTGGGATAAATAAAAAGCAAAAATTGTATGAAGTCCGTAGCTTTGATTATATTAGGAAACAAACTGGGTCTTCTCAATTCTTGGTGTGAAGGTTTTCTAGGGAGAGTTATTCCAGATTCATCGAGATCATTTTGAGAAGCATTAAGAACGAATAGAACCTCCTCAGATCTTTTGAACCGCTCATCTTCCAAAACAGAAAGAATGACCTTTTCCAGGTCGAAAGTTGGCAATGGATAATATTTTTTATCGATACTATCTTCACGCAAGTGTTTCCCTGGTCCATGATAAAGATAATTCTGGAATACCAACCATTTCAATACAGCAAAAACTGATAGCATATTGACGTCAGATTTTCCAACATTATATTTTGTTCTGAATTGAGAAAATAAAAAAAGCATTTTGTTTTAGATTAAAGAAATTAAAACACGATAATCAATTTACTTACTTCCAATCAGATAATTGGTTAACAATAGCTGACAACAGTTCTTGTGAATAAGGGAGCTTTTGGATCATTTTTGGTATATACTCGATTATATCGTTGAGTGGAATTCGTTTCATGATAATTTTCAGCACTTCGGTATTGACAATCAAAGTTTTTAAATTATAACAAAGATCAAGTCCAACTTCATCAATATAATCCTGGGACGTAATCAATCCAAGCCAGTGCGTTCTGTCATCAACATTTCGCAGCTCGATTAATTTTTCAATCAGTGATACTTTATCTTCAGGTATTTTGGATTTATCATATGGAAAACCCATTAAAATTCGTAGAATACCATCGTTTGCACCAACAGGAATTTTCCAGTGAACAAGTACATCACGATGCTTCCAGCCCAATCTACGTTTCACTAAGAGTAGATCTTTGATGTGAGCAAGATTGCTGGAGTGAACTCTATACCACTCACAGAGCTGTTTACGAATAACAGTTTGGTTACCTGAACCTTTTCTCAGATAATATGCGAAAATCAACAAATCAGTTGTATTCTTAATAACTGTAAGAAATGTTTTTAAAATAACAGGTCTCAAATTTGGAAGGGTATACATTCGTGAAAGAAGGTACGGAATAACACCAACTGGAGAATGGGATTTATTTTCAATTAAAATATCGGACATCCGTGAAATGATGTCTTCTCTTTGCTTCTGATTCTAATAAAAAAAGAGAAAAGAGTCAAATGAGCTTCTGTGGTGGTCAATACAGTATTAATAATACTTACCGCATCATTGTCAAGAACACCAAGCACATCGGATAAATTTTTTATTGACTTTATTTTACTTTCTTCGACATAAAGTCGAAAATTCGTTTCTGTGATAAACCATCTGTTAATGGAACGACGTGGGGCTGACTTATAATAAGTCTCGGTACCAAAAAGAATGAATTTTTTGAATTGGTTGAGTTGGAATGGAACATCGATCTTTTTAATGACTTTTTGTTTACTGGTTATTTCAACAAGTCCAAAACAAGGTTTACTTTCTCCAGTTGATTCAACAGTTTTCGAAATCATTCCTTCGGCATCTGAGGTAGACTCAGTTCCCATGTTGAATAGAGACAGGGCGAAACAAACAACGAAAAATTCAAATCAATTTCCGGTAATGTTGCACACAGAAAGAAACAAAGAACACAGTTTAGACAAAAGGATTAGACAGGGAAAAAAAGACTCCAAAACAGGGAGAGAAGAACCTTGTTCCCTCAGGAAAAAATCTTATAACATGAGCAAGTGGAGTTGTCTTGAATTAGGAAAGAAAGCAAATAACAGAGTGAGCTTGTTAGTAAGCTCGGCTTGGACATCTTTACCTAGGGTAAGTTCATATATTTCACACAGTTGCTGAAGAAAGTTCAATTAAATGCAAAAATTTATAAAATTAAAGACAATGAATTTTCTGTATAAAATTTTGATCATTTATCAGGCATCCATAAAAGTTCTTACTTGTTAGACTCTTGAGGTGTCTTTATTTCAAACAATTAATTAACATAGAAAAATTATTCAATTGTTTTGATTTTTCCAAAATATTTAACCAATATTAATCAATATTTAGTCTTTAATTAGCACTCAATTTCATGATTAAAAACATTGATTAACGTACTTAAATATTGATTCAATTAAATCACCATTTTTTTAAAATCTTAACTATCAAATTGTATCGTTGATTAAAAATGATCCACAATTGAGAATTAAGAAAAATTGACATAAATCGAAAGCTTAAATTCCGTATAATCACAGATAAAAATTTGAAAATTTTAATCATTACCGTTATTTAATTATTCTGTTTAATTACTGATAAAATTGTCCTTTTTCAACTTTTTCTATGAGATTTTTTATAGAATCCAAAAAATCTTAAAATATCCTTTCTATGAAGATTTATGTTACACAGTGCATAACTTAATTACTCTCTGTGGGTAATATTATATTGTTTACTGATTATCATTAAAATAAAATGATTAGATAAATTTTTGTAAAAATCAATTAATTTTACTAATTTACTGAATCTTTACAAGTTTAGCATAATTGGTATCGTCAACTGATGAAGTACTTAACACCATAATTTCAGGTAAGTTTAAGACAGATTCCATAATTAACTTCCCCAGTGATTAATTTAGCATTTTAATGGTAAATTGATATTAAATTAAATTAATTCTTTTGCAACAAAGATGGTTAAATGACTTTCATATGAAGAAATGAGTAATATTTTGAATCGGAATGGTCAGTTACATAGTGTGAGATTGACTGAGCTCAAGATGTTAACCGATTAAGGTGAGCATTTAAGGCAATGACAACTTTCAGGTTCCTCCATTTCAATCTCCATGGACCCTTTTTCACCAGTCGTCTTTTTCCCGTCTGGATCAAAACAGTGACTCAATCGAATTGAACGACTTTTCATTCTGGATTCTCGGCAACAATTACATTTCTGTAGGAAAAAAGGATGAAAATGGTTTAAAATACGATAAACACTGATTGATAATAAATTTATTATAACTCTTTTAACCTTAAGAAAGCCGCTTGAATGGACAACGCTTGGTTGCAATGATGAGACACAAGTTCCTTCACATTTGTTGACCAAGAAATCGCCTTCACATGATCTAATTACATTACCAGCCACATCGAGTTCCTCTTTGACTACATGAATAGATCCAGGTAAAATGGCACAATTTTCATGGGCAATATCAATCGGTTCCAAGGCGAAACTAGAGATGAACAAAGTAGTCAAAGAAACTAAAGAAAAAAGAAATATTTCAAGAGTTGATTTCATTTTATCACTTACAATGAACTTCTTGACCACAACTGAAATAAAATCAAAGGTATTTCATCTGAAATAAATACTAAACATGATCGCATCATGATTGGCATTGATCTTGAATTTTGGATTAATGAACATTTGTTTTGTTTGGTTACAGAGCTACTTGAACTCACAGCGGGATCGCTTAGAGAGTCACATTAGATCAAGAATTACATGATATTTCCATTACATTGACTGCATAAATGAATTGTCCATAAAGAGCTTGAGCTTAGACCAATTTTGACATTTACATGAATAATTTTTCTGCAAATTAAATGTCAATTTTTACCACATTTGGTTAGCACAAACATCTTTCATCACTGGAATTGGTTTTCAATGATTAGTACTTATCAATATCGTCTATCAATTTATGACAGCAATATGATCAGTGTAAAACTCTGATATATTTTTTGGCTTACAGTTTGTTATCATTTAATTTGATCCAGTAAAATTTATAATTATGGATGGAAAATATTTAGAATCAAAACTTGATAAATCATTTTATCTGGACCTAAATTGAAGCTTTACAACAAAATTATTGGCATCGTACCTTGACTTTTATTTGCGTGTCTTATGTTTATACAGTGCTTTACTGAATTACTCTCTGTGGGTAAATATCTTATTGTATGTGTACGTGTACTGAATATCAATAAACATGATTGAATAAATAGATTGAAAGTAATCAAATTTAAAATTTTCTTGTTTTAGGTTTAGATTTGAATTTACAAAATAAATAAGATTTAATATCTTACCACAAGATGTAGCTGTTTCCAATGTACAAATTTCCAATCAAATTTTTGTAAAAATAAATTAATTTTACTAATTTTGTGAAACCAAATTTGGCATAATTGTTATTCGTCAAGTGATGAAATACCTATTAACATCGTATTTGAGGTAAGTTTAAGATGTATTTTTTAATTGTCTTCCACACGATTAAACAAACCAATGCATTATAAAACGCTTGTTTATGTTCTATTTCTTCTTGCATTGCAGATAACTCTTTCGTGCCTTATTGTTTTGTTGACGCTCTCTTGCATCATTCTAAACGGATTTTAATTGTTGACCGAAAATTTCTGATTTGTGATGATGAAATATTTGTTAGAACTTTCATACAAATATTTTATCTTGTCTTAAATGTAGTTTCTTCATTTGGATTGTTTATTGAAAAAGCTCGTTGATCTATAACTATCCAACTGTAATCCTAAATTTGGTCTTTTATCGAGTTTGCTTTTGCATTAATTGTTTTAGCCGAGAATTTTTCATGTCTTCATCCACATCCGATCCATCTATTAACTCCTCTAACATGGATGAGGCGTCAAAGAATTCTGTACTCACATCACCAAATTCATTAGCTATCAATGATGGTGATAGCCAAAGTCAACTGTCAAGTTTTTCTGAACCTGGTCCAGAAAACGGTCCATCGCCTTGTGGTAAAAGTGTTACTAAAACTTTTCAAGACAAAAATATTTCCGTTAAAATTTTGCGAAGACCTCCTAATACTACTGTTCCTAAGTTTGCTCTTCATGATTGCAGCCCCATTTGTTTAGAAGAAGAAAAAAGAATCAAAGAGATTAAGGGAGTTAAGGTTTTAAGTCACTGCATCCTGATTAACAGAGTGAATCCATATTGTGTGCCTATTTTCATGGGATGGCATCGCACTAAATCTGATGGTATGATTCTCTACACAGCGCCATGTGGTAAACAGCTGAATTCAATTCGCCAAGTGTACCAGTATCTTCTTAGAACCGAATCTGGATTGTCAATTGACCAATTTTCGTTTCACAGTCAATTGAAACTTCATACTTCTAGGGAGCCTTTCAAAGTAAGATCATCTTCAAGCTATTGATTTTCCCTGTACCAAATCTACAATTGAGTTTTCCCCCTTTTTTCCAGGCTTACTCGTATGTCTCTGACATTGCTAATGGAAAGGAAATTCTACCAATCGCTTGTATCAATGAGCTAGATCCAAGTTCACCTGAAGAATTCGTGTACATTTCTGAAAGTATTGCTGGTCCTAATGTAAATTTGGATTGTGATCCTGATTTCTTAAGCTTTTGTGTTTGTCAGGATAGATGTAAGAATTGTGATGAATGTTCATGCCATGGGTTATCAAAAGAAGAAGCATATATGGTTTCCGGAGGCGACTCAGTTAATCAAGCTGGTTTCAAATACAAGTGTTTAAATAAGAAATTAGTCTCAGCAGTATTTGAATGTAATGCTAATTGCAAATGTGATATACGTTGTTTGAACCGTGTTACTCAAAACGGAATGAAACATTGTCTCCAAGTGTTCAAAACTGAAAATCGTGGATGGGGTCTAAGATGTCTTCATGATATACCACCAGGATCTTTTATAAGCTTGTACGCTGGAGAAATAATTGACTTTGATACTGTTAACGAAGAAAGCAGGATAAACGATTACATTGCAGCTTTAGATTATATAGAAGCAGGTCGTCGTCCCAAAAGAGATTTTGATACAGCATCGGACATTGACAGTGTTCTGGACTCAGACTCATCATCTTCGGAAGAGCTTTCCAGTTGTGAAGGAATATCGAATTCTTCCATTATTGATGATTTGAGTGATTTCGAAGGGGAAAGAGCCGATGTATTATCAAAAGATCAGAATTTAAACAGTAATGATGTTGAAATAGAATCAACAAACAAGTCTCCCATTCAACCAAACTCAAGCTCTATGAATGGCTGTAAAAATTTACCCAATGATTCAAGCAAACGCTCTCATGAGACTGAAGAACAAGATGATTTAAACAAAAGAACTAAAAACGAAGATTCAACTGTACCAGTCATTGATTTAGAGGATGAACTCATTGCTGAAGTACTGGAATCTCAAGGACTAGATTCTGAAGATGTAATTATCGATTTCGATAGTATGGATCAATCCAAAATTTCTTCCTCCCGAGAAGGTACTAATGGTGACACTGTTGCTAGTAATCATGGAGATATCGATGATAATGTTAGTGATAATGAAAGCCTCGCTTCAGAATCAAAACCTTCCATTATTCACAAGCATCTCGATATGAAGCACAGTTTTTCAGTTGACGGAGCTCGTTATGGTAATGTCGGTCGATTCCTAAACCACAGTTGTGAACCAAATTGTCGTATCAGAAATATATTCGTTAACAATCATGATTATAGATTCCCACAGTTAGCTTTTTTCTCTACTAGACTAATCAAAGCCTATGAGGAATTAACCTGGGATTATCGATATCCTACCCATATTAAATACGCTGATAGTAAAGAATGCCTTTGTGGATCTCCCGTTTGTCGAGGACGTATTTATTAATTTTTTTAGTCAAACTATCAACAAGCTCCTCATTAATTATTTCACTAACAGCTATTCGAAATTTCTTTCCTTTAATATTTCACCGTAAATAAGCGAATCATTTCTATTTTTAATTTTGTTCTCCTTCAACCAACCAAATCACGTTTAAATTAAATTGTAAAACAAAGTAACTTTTCTCGTTCCGTTTTGATTTTGTGTCAATAAAATTGAGATTCAAATTAAATTGATAAAAGTTAATTTTAGTTTTCTTGAAAAAAAAGTATTTCTAAAAAAGTACCTCACGATATAAACATTTCTCATCTCTTGTAATAAAAAATATCCTTATAAATCTAAACTTACAAAGATTGACCACAAAAAATGTGATGGTATTAAATCAATATATAGTTGTGAGCATTTCTCGTTTCCTTTCCAGAACAGAAAATGGCGCCAAAAATGAATCGTAAAATTTTGTAACAACAATAGTTGATTCTGCAAAAAAAAAACAATTTCATTCAACTACTGAAACAGTATCTGTCATTGCAATAGGTAATTCACTCTGGTCAAACGGCGCTAATCCTTCAAAATTAATGTGACTCGAATATTTGGCGAGAAGGAAAAGCGTTGCAACACCTAAAAGAATTCCAACATTCTGTAAAATTAAAGCTTTTATCATTGAACTTGTTGATCGAGCCATGGCTTCATCAAGTGATGCACTCAGTTCAGCCATCATGTCAACTAAGGCAATATAAAGAAACATTCCCCCGGCAAGGGCAAAAATATATGTACTTCCAGCAGCAAAGTCGCCGATTATTATTCCTAGGATCATCCCAAGATAACAGGTACAAGCAGAGAGGAAATTATAACCAATGGCTTGTCTAAGGGTCATTCCTGAACTGATGAGAACAGCAAAATCACCCAATTCATGAGGAAACTCTTCACAGATAACGGCAACTGAAGTGCTTATTCCAGTTAAAATTGAGTTTGAAAAGGCAGCTCCTGAAAAGAAGGAAAGAAAAATGAAAATAAATAACTAGTTTCATGGTTTTAATTAAAAAACAATAATGGTAAAGATAATTAATTGCAATTGAAGAACCGTGGGATAAGAGATGCTAAAAAGAGAAGGGAGAATCCCATCAATGAAAGTGAGACTTTGAACTTTTCTCGCTTTTACAATATTAAGTTTGCTTTCTGATTAATGAAGCGCCCAAAAGAAAGGTAAATGATGATTAACATTTTATCAACCTGTATCAAGAGTCAAGTCAAGATCATTAGCCTTGAATGTTTCACTTGATAAAATGCTATCTCTTGACCCAGGCATTCTTACAAAGCCATTTCAATCAAGGAAATGAAATAATTACACTTCTCGGTAATCATCAGGTTGGATCATTATGCAGCCTGCTAAATTCATCAAATTAACAAACTGAGAACCTGAAAATAAGCTGCAGAGCGAAATGGTTTGTTAATGTTTTCATGCTAAGGTGGAAGTAATCTTTGCAAATAAAATAGCTGCGATTACACTTTGGAATATCCTGTAATCTTGATTGCTCTCAACAATTAGCACGACCCTCAATGATGTTCAAGAGATGAACATGGATACCATCAAGTAGCTACTACTATTACTAGTGATAAACAAGTTTTCATGTCATGGTCAACCTAAAATCTTACACAACTACAAGACTAGAAACGCAGGAATCAATGAAAGGTACAATGTAGCTTTAATTGTGAGAAGCAAACACAATAAAAGCGCAATAAATGCTTTGCATTTCAACTGACGATCAACTATTCAAACAAGTGATTTTTCCTTTTAATTGGATCTTTTAACTTATTGCTTTTCACTCAAAACAAAACAATCTATTGAAACTATTACAGTATCACTTTAATTGATTGTAATTCAAATTATAAATAAATGATACTCATCACTGTGATGATAATTGTTTGCGCGGTAAGCATAAAAACCCTCCATTCTCTTTTCAAGAGATATCTCAATTATATCAAATTGGTTATCGTTAAGTTTACCGTAATTTAAACAATCATTTACGCTGATCTATTCATTTTTGCAACTAGAAATAGAAAGCAACTGTCATGATTCGATAAAAATTACAGATGTAAATGAGAAAGGAAATGAGGAAAACTGTTCCAAATAACTGGAAAAATGTCAGCTTCACAATTACATGTTGGTAAGTTCAAGGCTTTTTTTGTTTCCAGTGAGAATCATTTGATACTAACTCACCTACAGAAAGACCATCGATAAAATTATGTAATCCATCACCAAGAATAATCATCCAGGCAACAGTGGCAATATTTTGTTCACCGGGATTACTCGAAGTATCTCCAATGTGAGAGTGAAAGTGTTTATTCAATGAAGAGGTACTGCAAGATGTTTTTCGTAAAGGGTTATTACTTGGAGTAACTGAATCAGGCACAGAGGCATTATTATTAGGTCCATTGGTGAATGTCGTCTCTTCCAAATTATGAGCACCTTCTTTCTCTTGAGCACCATTAGCCAAGGTTAAGGATTTACTGACATCATCATCTCCCATATCACGAAAATAAACGTGTTTCATTGCATTAAATCCACTGGCCAAATTAGAAGAATCGTTGTTAGGATCAGTTGAGGTCGGCACATAAACAGAGGCTAACTTTTTTTTACGCTTAAACTCGGAGACAATTTTCATTATTCTTTCAGACCAAAAGAATAGATAGATTCCGCCAAATATAATTAAAGCTTTCCAAAGAAAATCATGAGATGGATATTTGATGACCAGATCAAATGCTTGTGGTATAAGATGAAACAATGAGCTTCCAACTAAACTTCCAACAGCTAAACCTTCCAATAAGTTCATTGCATTTGTAAATGAATCTTTATCAATAAAAGGCATTATCATGACCCCAACAAGTGAACAGAATGAAATTATGGTTACAAAAAGTATAGAGAAACCCCAAACTGAGCCAACTGAGGGACGAGCTTGTAAAGTTTCGTCTCCAGCTAAATTTGATGAGCACTTGGAATCATGAAGTTGAAATAATATCACAGGGCAAAGTTTAACAATTGAATGGCTTAACCGTAAATCAATATCTTCAACATCTAACTCTGAATTGGGCAATTCAACCTTTCGTATTAAATTTAACATATCATCGCTGTTTTGACATTTGTTTGCCGCCTCACATATTGACAAAAGTTTAGACCGGTGATGTTCAGAGTGTGAAGATGTAGATGCTGATGAATATGCTGGAGTAGATGAAGGTGATGGCGAAGATACAGATGCTGATGAGACTGATGGTGATGATGGCTGTAGAGGTGAAGCATGTGATGAAGTTGACGGACTGGAAGTTAAATTATTGATTAATCTCAGGTAATTGTCGACTTCGAAGGAACAGTCAATGTTTTGGAGAAACTGTTCTGATTCGCCAACATTGCCACTTCGAAGATCCTCAAAAAATCTGAATAAATTTGATTCAGAAAGATTTTTATTGCACCATTTGTTCTCCTCTTTTTTACCATAACTTGCATCATTTGGATTGATTCGACATCTATCTTTATTGTGACTGACCAACAGAAAATAAGAGAGAGCTTCGATGTCCTCCAAATTTTCCAACAGTGGACTATTGCTATTCCTGTTATTGCTACCATAATTATCATTAAGAAGAAACGTAGGTTGATTTGAGGGTAAAGGTGAGGTAGTATTGGTTCCTAGGGAAAGGGTAACAGGATTAACCATTAAATAAAAGATGGTGACTAGTAGAACGTTGAAGTAAGTCATCTTGATGGCTCCTCTTCAGTAAAAGTATTGAATTGTAGAACAGAAAAGTGAATTTAAATTAAATTAACTGGTTAAGATTGTCGTTCACAATTTTCATCTGGCACAAAAGAAGTAAAAAGTAATTGTACATGGGATAGGACGTTGAATGAATCACCTGGCTTGAATCTTCATTTGTTAATCACATTGAAATTAACAAATTTACTAATTGATTAACTTATGGTCTTCATTGCTTGTCTTTACAACTGCTACTTTTGCTGGTAGTGATGACGATGATGTTGATGGCCCAAGTCAACTTGATAATTCCAACAGGGAAGGTTTGATTGGGTTTGTTGAAGGAAACTTGATTTTGATCTGTTTTCCTCTCAACCTTACTCTCAACAATCTTTTGCACTCTCTCTCTCTATTTCTCTTTCTCTGTCTCCCACTCTCTCACTTTCTCTCCTCCTCTTTCAACTCAGCTGTTTCCCTTTCTTTTTTTCAAATACGTTCTTACCGTAAAAATCTTACGGTTATTCCCAATTTTATCAGTTACACTTTTAATCTTCAAACTTTAAATGATTAACAAATGGCTGATTGATTGTGAGCGTCACTGGTTTTCAATAAACAATGAATTACAAGTGAACAAGTGAAACAGGCGACAAAGGAATACAGTTTACTCCTGATATTACACAAAATCTTATTGTAAAGGGGACCTGATGATAGGATCAACCAGAAAACATATCAAGAGATGGCGAAATCAGCAGTTGGTGGACAGAATTTTCAAATTGGTTGAAGCGGAGGTAAAAGTAGAAACAAATTTACTTTTGATTCAATAAATGATTGATACAAATCTCCTTGATTAACCTTGGAAGTGAAAAGGAGAATCAAGAAATATGTCTACAATTTCCAGTGTGTGGTTGTCATTTGCTGATTTGTTTGGGTTGTAGATGAAGAAATGCGAGATGATTTAGTTGATTGAAAAGGTAAGACAATAGTTTCAAATTCATTTACAAATATCCAAATAAAGAATCTCATTAACAAATTTATTCATTTCAAGATTTGGAACACATTCAGAGTTAAATGGCACACACAAAATAAACTGATTCACTTGATACACTCAACGTTTCCAGCTCATGGTAATTGCTAACCAATCCAACGCCTTAACATGTCGAAAGGATTCATTATCAAATTTGATTGTGTAATTGGTTGTTACCATTAAAATTAAGACGCTTCGATGTGTAAAGTGAAAATTAATTGAAAATCAATCATCAACAATAATGGTGCTTGCATAAACAAAACATGGTATCTTGTGCTCAGTATCTTTGAACCAATCGACCTTTGATTAAAACCTTGATTGATAATTTGTACAATTTAAGAATAAAGAAGAGGAAACAATTAATTTCAATCACAGGACATTGAGAGAAGGAAATTGATTGAAATGGTAAAGAAAATGAAATTATTAGTTTACTCTTCATATTATTGTGATTCAGTTAACTTTCAGACAATCAGGATAAAAGGATGATTATGCAGCAACCTGGATCAATTGCATTTCTGATTTGTACACAATTATAATTGTATGAACACCTTTCATTAGGCTAATCATTTTCATCTAATTATATCACTTATGTGTAAGATGTTTTTGTATTGTTTTACATTTTATTTACATTTTTCTGAAAATATTTGCCACAAAATGGTTCATCTTATAACAGCTGTAATACAAGTGTTCACAATCTTGCATTGAAATTACGCTCAAATATTGTTGATTGAAAATTAAGTTGATGAATAATTGAATAAAAACAAATCAGTAATCAAAATATTTATGATCAAATGCAGCTGATATAAATCTTTAAGAATCTTACCATTTCAGAGCAATTCTACTTTCGATCACAATGTGCCACTTGATTACTTTGATTAAAGATAAAAATAATTAACTGTGTATAAATAAGTGATTTAATAGCAAGATAATAATCAAGTCATCAAAGACATAATTCAATACACTTTTGATACTCATGTCAGAAAGTTTGATGAGCAACTTGGTTTGAACCAGGACTTGAACCACTGGCAGAGCAAACTGGAGGACCATGGTAAAACTGATCACAATGAGCAATAAGCAGTTGATCCAGTATCAATCAACCCAGAATCAAACTTGAATCACTGTGCACTTGACATAGATATAACTTTGCTGGCAGTGAGGACATTAGATGTTGGCTGAGGTTGAGGGACCATTCCTCTAGGTGCCACAATAGATTATGGACTTTGCTTTTGAGGCTGATTTTGCTGTTTTTCAGGACCAGGATAAGGTTGAAAGGAGGTTGATTTCAAATTGGAATGATATATTTGGATGAGACTTTGTCAGTAATGTTTCAAACAAATACAATTATACAACAGAAATGTAAAAGGTTGAAAGTTGATCGCTAAAAGCAGGTATCATTATCCTTTTTTGCATGTTGAGTTGTTTCTATAACTGAAACGTTTAATGGTTGAGGCCCGAGGATAAACAATGAACTTTAGCATTTAATAAACTCGGTGAATGTAACGATCCTTTCTGACCTTCATAAACTGGAATCCAATTCATGATCAAGTATTGCACATAATCAAGCCACCTTAATTGTAAAGCTTTAGATAAACCATCAAAAATGATTAAGTTTTTGTAGTAACGTATCAAGTTTCATTTTAAATTGATAATCCAATATCGATTGCTCATGGACAGTTCTGAAAGAAAGTCAAATATATATCGATAGTAATGATTATAAATTTAGAACATCAGAAAGACAATAATTTCTGTCCTTGAAATTGTGCATGTATTGCTTGATAGGTAAAATAATGGCTGATAAAAAGGGAAATTTCAATGATGATCTTCTTCATGTATTTGAAATTTCCTTCAAGGATTACCCTTTTGGATAGAGTCAATAAATATTGGTTGACAACCAAACTCAAGTCTATTAAATATTGATATCAACATTATTGCATGGAAACATTATTAACAGGAAAAAAATATTTCAGGTAAACATGAAAAATAATTCAGATCAGTGTTGCAACCATGCAGATCATGCCAAAAACAATTACCATCACACTGTTGAACAGTTTTGAACCATTTTAATTAAAACAACACACAAGATTAGCCATCAAGTGCTATATTAAAATGGAGATACAAAACAAAAAAACAAAAATATATTCACCTTTGATCACAATTAGCTGTGACTCTTAATTCAACTTAAATTACCAGAATCCGGTGAATTTACATCAGAAGAAAAATATTAAACGAAATTGTCATTTGTCACAAATTTTAATTTCCGTTAATGGTTAAGTTAATACAAAACAAAACAAGAATCAAAAGGTTTATTGACAACCGGCAAAAAACAAGCTTAAAAAATCTTTGAAAAATGAGTTTCAAATTTGGCGCCTGGTTTGCTATGAATAGCGTTTTGTTTTGGTTGATTGAAAGATCAACCTTAATGTAAATTGTTAACAATAATTGTGAACTTTTTTATGATTGTGCTTATATTAGTTATGATTAATTAATCATTCTCACTTCATTTTAAGTTATTCTGATGTTTAACTTGAATTTAGTTTAACCACTACAACTTTTATACATGGTTGATTGACCTGAATCAAATGGTGAAAACAAGTTTGTTGCCTTAACTTATCCAAAAGAGTAAGTATGATTATTCAATGGATATTGATTATTTACCGTTAATTATAAAACTCTCAAGTATTAATTTACTCTTTGTTTAACAATTTGTTCATTTTGTTTAACTTTCATACTCTGTTACAATTGTTTCAGTTTACTTGTAATTTCTTAAGTACTATTTCTTTATATTAATGCAAAACGTGTAAAGATATAAAACCTTTATTTCCCAAGTCAACTGTGATCAATACCATAGCCATGCAATTGTGATTAAACCCTTTGATCGGATATCTATTACATTTAATCGAGATTTGATTCACACTAGAAAATCCTTGGAAGAATGTCAAAAAGCGAAGAAAAATCTGATTTGAATTTTCCCTTTTTTCAAACAGTTTTCATTGTAATCTTTATGATGATAGTAACTCATGTTTTGCCAAGCTCATTGAAATGATAGCAAGACTTGAAGCTTGACCATCATTGATTTCACTTTTACTGGTTCCAATGAAAGTTACTGTGAGTTGCTTTGAACGTACTGTCGGTTAAACTGTTATTTATTAGTTGATCTTATTAATTCCTACAATCTGAAAGCAAACATTTGATTAATTCTTGAAAATCAAATGACAAAATCAGTGAAAATAACTTCCATATACACTCTTAGTCAGCTTCTCTGTCATAATGCTTAGGATTTGTATTATCATGATATTGATCTGATGATAAAAAAAGCTGAAAGACAACAAAATAGTAAGATAAATAATCAATCAAAATGATGAGAGTAAAATTTCTCCTTCGCTATCTGATCATCAGCTTAATTTGATTTTTCAGATGATAACTTTTGGTAGTTTTATTCATTTGCCTACACTATTGCTCTGTCTATAACTTATAATACAATTTTAATAATGTTGAAACATTTTCCATGCAATCTAGGTTTTTCTGGTTTCTTCACTCCTAACCAGCTGACGTTGATTAACCAGAAATGATTACCCAGTTTAACTATCAATAATCTTAATCCGGAACAAGTATCAGATGGATATTATGGCAAGGAGGAGGAAGAGGAGGACAATAAAAGTGACGGTGACGATGACGGAGATAACAATAGTGAAAAGAAGGAGAAAAAGAAGGATCAAGTCGAACTCTTGAAATGATCAAGATAACGAAAAGAGTGAATTTCTCTATCTCTTTGGGTTTTAGTTTTTTGTTTTTACTGTTTTTCTTAGCTTGAGAGATATGACAAAATGAAGATGATTAGAAATGTGAGAGAGGAAAAAACTGGAGTGAAGAAGTGGGAGAGATTCATTTAATGCATCTAGGTAGGCACTTGAATGATTATTGATAAAATGGTTAGAGAGTTTTATTGTGTATTTCTCTATCGATGGTGTTTGTGACAATATATCCTTGTGATGATCAATTGTGTTGATTTTATAATTAGTGTGTTCACTCTTTACTCAAATTTAATCCAGTAATCATCGAAAAAATCGACTCAGCTTAAAGTTGAAAGCCATCAAGCCAGCCATACACACATTGAGAAACAGAAGAAACAGAAGAAGGAATTGACAAGACATTGAGCAAACGATAGATGTCTAAATGTCTCTTATCGATTTTGTCGCAGGGTGCTGGGGAGGTGCCTGTGGTGTACTGGTTGGACACCCTTTAGATACAATCAAGGTTCGACTTCAAACATGTTCAGAAAATGTTAAATTATCAACTTTACTTTTTAATAAGAATCAAAAGCTTGGTGGTCTTTTCTCTGGTCTATCGTCACCCTTGGCCTGCCTTGCCTTTGTAAATGCAATTGTCTTTGGGGTTTATGGTAATCTAAATGAATATCTTAAAAGGCTGGAGACAACTTCCAATCCCTTTGGACTCTCTAAGATAGGACGTGAATTTGTGGCCGGTACAGTGGCCGGAGTTGCTCAATGTATTGTAACTTGTCCAATGGAGTTAGTTAAATGTCGCATGCAAACAGTATCCTCCATTGGAGCAACCGTTTCCTTAGTAAATCAGGGTAAATACAGTAAATATGTGGATAACAATTATGCTCAATTTAACGAGGTCCAGTCTAGTTTGAAGAATGGCCATGAGAAGCCAAAAATGTACAACTCTCATCAATCTCAACACCAACAACACCGTCAACTGCACTCTTCTCATCATAAACAAGCTTCTTTAAAGCACAATCCTTATCATCAACTCTATCATTATCATTATTATCATCTTCAAGCAACTCAAAGGCCTACCTTTTGTAGCCATTACTCAACTGGCTTCACTCCAATTACCGTCCAAGAAACTCTTCGCACAATCAAGGCTACAGAGAAAAGTTTTCTTCGAGGATTATATCGAGGAATGATTCCCACTTTACTCCGTGATGCACCCGCTTTCGGGATATACTTTTCTTCCTTCCAATACCTTATCGATCGTAATCCAGAAGAAACGAGTGAAACAAAATTGTTATTGGCCGGAGGAATTGCCGGTGCACTTTCCTGGCTTTTTATTTACCCATTTGATGTAATTAAAACCAAAATCCAGACTGAAGGAGTTAAATATGATTATTCAATGGTTAAATGTTCCAAAGCCATGTACCGAGAAAGCTCATTAGGATGGAAAGTATTCTTTCGTGGTTTCACTCCAACCCTAATAAGAGCATTCCCAGTCAATGCAGTTACCTTTTATGTTGTCAACAAAACATTTGTATTATACGAAAATTACCTTTAAAAACACACACACACACGTTATTACTTTTATTAATAATATTATTATTATTGACTGTATATTCCGTATTTTCACTTGGACCAATTTTTATTATTGCGATAACTTATCGCCATCTTCATTCCCCACTTTACCTGATATACCAAAAAATATGGCAAAATGTTTTTATATAAATTGTTTATCATGAAATCCCTGTGATTATTACTGTTATTTACTTTTGTTGTTTCACTGGCCATTCAATTTTTGCTACATTAATTTACACAATTTAATAATGAAAAAAAGGCCTAACATGAAATGGTTCAACTTGAAGGTAATTTTAAAATAAGAGGTAAAAATTGAAACAAAGAAATGGGAAAGAGAAGATGAAAAACGGAAAAATAAATAAATTTAAAGTAATCATGAGGAAAGTTGGATAACTTTTGGATGATAAATAAGATGTTAGAAGATGAAAAATGATGAAATAAGAGTGAGATTCTGGTGATTCTGTCTGTAAATCAAAATTGTAGATGAAGATGATGAGGAGAAGAAAAAAACAGGGAAAGAAAGATTAAAAATCGATATCTTACAGAATGGTGAATCTCATGCGCAACTATAAAATTGGTAATGAGCTTGAAGCGACCAGAAAAAGGAGACAGAAAAAGATGAAGAAAAAATAAAAGGATGATTGAAGAGGAAAAAGAGGAAGAAGAAATGAAGATTTGAAATAGAGACTGGATAAAGATGAAAGGAAAAAAAGGCTCATCACATTTAATTGTAACCATTTCTAAATGTAAATCGAACTAACTCTTTTTTTCATTTACTTCTTCTTCTTCTTTCCTCCTTTTTCTATCTTCAACTCTTCATTTTATTCTTACATCTTTTCTTCTTTTCTTTTCAAGTACCTTTTTTGTTTTCTTCCTTTTTTTAATCATCCTTCCATTATCAATATCATCATCTTTATCCTCACCATCACCATCAAAAATCATCATCACTCTCACCATCAGTTGATCTGTTATTAATTTGTTGTGTGTCTCTGTGTCAACCAATTGCCATTGTAAACCATTACCAGTGTTGAGGGAAACCCAATTTTCATGAGACCATGATTTATTAATGATATAATATCTGTTCCATGGATTTAACCTGGACTTATGTATATTTTTAATCTCATGCTTCTGTTAATCAACATACAAAGTTCGTGTCCATCACCATTAACATCAAAATCAACCTTAACTTCAATATTAACATTGCTCTCAACAACAACAACTTTCAAATCATACTTCTTCCATAATTTAACCTCTTCCTATATCTTTAAATTAACATTACCTAAACCGTTGAGAATTAATAAATTTAATAGTAATAATAATAAGAATCAGACGTTAATACTAAAAAGTAATAATACACTTAATAATTTAATGCTAGTAATAATTGAAACAATTAATCAATCTCTTTGAGAATCAAACCTTTTAACCCAAAAAAAACCGTTTCTTTTGGCATTCACTTTACTTCTTAGCTTCTTTACCCATAAAAATGATCGTTTGGTTATACCGTTTGGTTAACTTCAACCTTTCAACCAAACCTTGTTAATAGTTACTATTGATTAATTATTGTGATTTTAATTATATTAAATAGTTGAAAATAGTCTATTTATTATTTAATATAAAATGTTGTTTACATTCCATCCTTTTTAGTTCTGTTTCCCTGTTAATGCTTTTACCAGTATTAATCTGTTTCATCGGGTTAACTCTTTCTGGTTACTCTTTTTTTGTTGCTTAACCATGTTTAGCCATTACATTAAAATGCAATTTCAGTGCCAAAAAGTGTTCCAACAGTGTGTCCATATTAACTGCAATTTGCTCCTGATGTTGACCATGGTTGTGAAGAAACAATCAAATTAAGAGGAAATAATCTAGTGAAATTATTGATAATTAATTGAACCCAGGGAAGAAGGCAAAACACAAAACATCATTACAAGAACCAGAAAAATACAAAGGATTATTTACACACACATATACACAAGAAGAAAGTGAACCAACCTTGGAATCATCTTGTTACCCATTATCATCCAACTTTGCCTAGTTGGTTTCATTTTTCACCCAAAAAACTCACATTTTTACTTATAATTTTCATCCATTTTTCTGTCATATCTTTATTGTTTTGTCATCTTCACACAATCCTAGAAGGCAAAAAGAAAGTGAAGCCCAGGATTCAGGACATTCAACAAATTACATGAGTGAATCAACCCGAGGCTCAATCTGTGAATCTTTTATTTTAATAGCCTCCTTCTCATCCAGTTCCGTCTGCTGCAATATCATTTAAATTACAAGATAAACTGCAACCAGATAATTATCCGTTTATTAACACGTATTTGCACCAAATTTGTACAAACATCAACTGTTGAATTTTGAAGCGATTCATTTGGTTGTCAAAAAGTCAAAGGACAACAACAAAAAAAAAATTGCATACTTTTGTGGAATCCCTGTGATTATCTTGATAATATTACCTGGCAGACAACATGTTACGCCGTTTATCAATAGCATCAACCTTTCGCACAACTGGATCCACCAACAAGGTTAAATATTGTAAAAATCGTGGTGTTGCCCGGAAAACGGGGCGAAAAGTGAAAGGTGTTATAGGAGCTGATGATGATGAAGATGAAGACGATCTAGAACAAGGTGAAATGGACTCTTTTAATGGTGTTAAAGTTATTGGTGGTGGTTACAGTGGTACTGGTGGTGGAGGTGGCCACTTGCATTCCTGTCTATCACCTTCCAGTTACTCCTCATCGCAACATCATGCTTCATATAACCATCCATCTTCATCATCACCACCTATCAATATTATGAAAATTGGCCAAGGACAGGTTACTTATGGAGGTAAAGAAGGTCCAACTAGTTCAACTGGAATCGGAAAGAAAGGTGACTTGGAGAGAAATGGTCCAAGAGTAATACCGGGAATAATTACTTCTTCTGGTCGGGGAAATGATAAGGTTGCTCGAGTTTTCTCATCTCAGTCAACTTCTTTACAGAACCATCGAGGGTAAGTTGAATCAATCGCATAGTGAGATTCAATGAAAAGTTAATTTAGCTAAATTAGCATCATTAACCAGGAAAAATGAAAACCATTTTCAGTATAGACAGAGTCAAGTTTGAATCAATTTTTCCAAACAATAACAAAGTTCACATCAACATACCATGAATCAATATTCAGTACTAATCTGAACTCTTTTCTCTATTAATAATGATAAATTGCATTTACGATAATCAGATTAGTGATTTTTTGCTTTCTTTTCAAAGTTTCATTCTTTGGACAATTATTTTGTCAAAATAATGTACATTTCAGGGCAAATACTAATGCTTTTTTGTTTCATGTTTTCTTGTTTTTTCCCCTTATTTTTAGAGTAAGCATCGAAGGAAAAGGTGACAATGAGACCAATAAATACAACGACAATGATGATGATGAACATGATGAATCAAATAATAAAAACAGTGAGATTAAACCCATTATTATTCCAACAATTAGTGGAAGCACTTTGATAAACAAGAAGACAACGGAAGACGAGGAAAGTGTCTACTTGAGTCGTAAAAGGAGAGAAATGAGAAAGAAGGAAATTAAACGTGATTTTGACCGATCAGATGATCGACTAGGATCATCTGGAGTATCTGGTAAACGTGGAGTTGGTCCAGGAGGTAGCAGTGGAAAAGGATGGTCATTTGTTTTTGATCCAGCAGGAAGATTGTGTTATTATTGGTCAATGATTGTTTCCCTTGCTTTTTTATACAATTTTTGGGTCATCATATATCGTTTTGCCTTTAATGAGATCTCTTCGGAAACAATGGTTCTCTGGTTAACCTTTGACATTCTTTCCGATACTGTTTACATTCTTGATATTCTGATAAACTTCCGCATCTGTTATCTAGATGAAGGGGTTCTTCAAACAAATGCCAACAAATTAAGACAATATTATATGAATTCAACCTTCTTTTACATTGATTGTCTTTGTCTACTTCCATTGGACTTTCTTTACCTCTCTATTGGTTTCAACTCTATCCTAAGAGGCTTCAGACTGGTCAAAATATATAAATGGTGGTCTTTCCTTGATCGAACTGAACGTCATACCAATTATCCGAATGTTTTTCGAACCGTTTCACTGGTCCATTATATTTTGGTCATCTTCCATTGGAATGCTTGCTTCTATCATCTGCTTTCAAAGCGAAATAATTTTGGTTCGTCCGATTGGTTTCTTGGTTCAAGGGATCATCAACTTTGTCCCGATGTTGAATGTGACTATTTACATGCCTTTTACTGGTCCATTCTGGCATTAACTATAATTGGTGACCTTCCTCGACCACGAACCAAAGGAGAATATATTTTTCTCATTGTTGAACTATTTTTGGGGCTTTTTTTGCTGGCCACGGTTTTAGGACATGTGGCCAATATTGTGACCAATGTGAGTGCTGCTCGTAAAGAGTTTCAAGCAAAATTGGATTCTGTTAAAACGTACATGAGAATGCGAAGAGTCCCTGAACATCTTAAAGTAAAAGTCATCAAATGGTTTGATTACCTTTGGATGACACAGAAATCAGCAGATGAAGAAAAATCTGTTGGCTTTTTACCTGGTATGTATCTTTTGCCTTTTATCCCAACCAATCCATTTATTTATTCAAAATTTTATTCCCTTTTCTTCTAATATTTGTAATTTAAATCATCTTGACTGAATAGGTTCTGGAAAAATATATTTTTTATTTATTAAATTTACATAAATTTAGGAATAAGATCAGAAACAGAAGGGGAAAAGGATTCAAGAAGCAGTGTTACTTTAAAACTAAATTACTGTATTCATGCCTGACAAATGGCAAATCCATCACTGGATTTGTATAATTTTTTGCACTGATTGTGTTTAAAATTTTCAAGACATCAATAACTAATGAGATTACAGTGAAGCAAGTTTCATTCTTAAATCCAATTACTCAGATATCAACATGATTTCATTCTCATTAATATTGATTGTTTTCCCATCACTCCATGCCAGTTGAACTTTCTATAAATTGAATAACATTGCAAGTCAATTGGTTGTTACTTGATTACCAATGATGTACATTTTGACCCTGACAAATTCAAGTTCATGTCAATTGAGTGAACAACAAAACACTCTTATTGAAATGAAATGAAACATTGTAATCAAATTAATTCCCTCTAAAACATAAACAATTAAAAAATGACTTTTAACCCAATTTTAATTTTGTTTATCATTTTTGTTTCTTTCAAAAAATAGCCAAACTAAAAGCCGAGATTGCAATCCATGTTCATCTTGATACATTGAAACGAGTTGAAATCTTTCAAAATACAGAAGCTGGTTTCCTTTGTGCGCTGGTTCTTCGACTTCGACCCGTTCTCTTCTCACCCGGTGATTATGTTTGCCGTAAAGGTGAAGTCGGTAAAGAGATGTACATTGTTAACCGAGGTAAACTTCAAGTTGTCTCGGATTCCGGGGCCAATGTTTTGGCCATCTTAAGAGCAGGAAGCTATTTCGGTGAAATATCAATACTTAACATGGGAACAGCAGGTAACCGGAGAACAGCATCAGTTAAATCAGTTGGTTACTCTGACCTATTTTGCCTGAGTAAACAAGATCTTTGGGATGTATTGAAAGATTATCCAGCAGCACGAGTCAGATTGGAAGCAATTGCTTCCAAACGATTAGAAAAATATAAGAAAGAACCGCTTCTTAAAAGTAAGTAATAATACATAATAATGGCATATTTATTTTAATAGCAATTTATTATCATTTGGATCAATACAATAAAACATTTTCCTCTTCACAACAAAACCAACGTAAAAACATCAACAACAGTCTAATCATTATTCCTCTTTTGCTTTTTCCTGATTTCATTTTATTCCACAAAAGAAAACAATCAACTCAAATCAATCTCTCCACCCTTTTAATGTGTATTTAACCCATTATAATATTTATAAGCTCAATCCCAAGTCTAATGCCATTCTTGATCAATCCTTTTTACTTGCAATGCCAGTTATAACTGTGTTCATTAAGGCTAATTGTTATCACCAGTTTAAATATAATGACCAACAATTTTACAATGTTTACCAAAAATGTAAACTCATTACAATGTTGACCATTAATTTGTCCAAACCAAAGTTATCAGTTAATCTTTACTCCAACATTTAATGTTATTTAATAATAACCATTTTAACCCAAATTTGTTGATTGTTTAGTTATGCTTGAAAATCAGTTGACTTTCAGGTTAATTGTATCTTTCAACAGCCAAAGGTTAAGATTATTCAGTAAACATTTTCACAATCGAACCTCAGTTATTATCATTTCAACAAGGTTACCATTCATGATAGTAATCATTGTCATCACGCTGATAACCAATTTGCTGAATTTTTTGTCACTTTTTCCTTTTCTATTATTCGTTTCCATTCAACCAAATTAACATGTGTTACCTTTTCAGCAAACTATTTAACTTTGCATCATTGCAAATCGATTAATGATCCTTGCTGAATATCTTATTATCATGATGTTTACTCCTGAATAAACATTAAAATTAAACGCAACAATTTAATTTTGAAGGGTTATCCATAAATAAATAGCTAAATTTATGGTTACATTTTTAATGTTAACAATCAAATAGACAGTATTTTTATTACATTTATTATTAATGTAAAATAACCTTTTGGGTTTTGAACCAGGATAAGACCAGAAGAGACCAAAAGTTGATCTTTTTACCAAAATATTAGCAACATTATTACATTGTTAATAATTGAACAATGAAACACACTTTTGAAGATTATGAAATTTTGATGATTGAGGAACAAGTTGATTGAGTTAAATTGATCTGTGAATGGTCAGGATAACATTTGTTACTGTATCATGATGAATGTTTATACACACTTGATTTGAGTTGATATCTTTTTTCACAACTGTTATTGCTACTGTGTTACAATGATACAGATTTAAATGTTTGCAGTGTTCAATGGTGTAAATATGTATAAATGGTTGTGTCAGTTACTCTTTCCTTCTTTGTATCCCTTTTGTGTTATCATGAAATAATATCAATTGAAACCTAATCTGACCATGATGATTGACGAATTTGATTCAAGTCTTTCAAGCCTTTCAGTCATCTGTTCATGTAACCATGTTTGCTTTGTTCAACTCTTGTCTTTCCCTTTGCTTCATTTTTCACCTTTTCATCTCATTCCATTCAAGTACTGGTGAACATTTAAACAATATAATTACATTTTTACACTGTTACTAGTTTCATGAAAAAACACCATGAATATTATCAAGATAATGTTCACCATTTAGCTGCGCAAAATCAATCATGTGAACAATTGAAAAGATGTGTTATAATAATACTCAGTGAATGAATATCTCATGAATCTGTCTCTTTTCCCTCCCTTCCTGCCATGGTTCTGTTCAATCTGTTTCCACCGTTTCTTTACTCTCTTCCCTGTAACTGTCTCTCATCCTGATCGTCATCCTGAACATCATCTTCTTTTTTCTGTAGGTAACATGAGATGTTATCTATAAATTTGAAATTTTATATGTGGTTTGATGGGTTAGTTGGGCGAGGACAGGAAAGTTGAAAAGCATCAAAACCTTTTCTTGTCAATCTTTCCATTCAACTTTCTCAGGATAATAGAAGCTCATGAGAACTACTGGTGAACCCAGGGAAGTAAAAATTTATCATTGGATAATTTATTTACTCTGATATCACATTTTTTCGAGTTCCTCTATTTTGGCCAACATTTGTCACATCATCAATTATTGCCAGATTAAAGATTATTCAAAGTCTAACATTAATTGAAATAAGATGAAAGTTGATTTGTGTTTGCAAATAATGTCAAACAATTTCAATTTAAAATGTTTCCTTTTCCTCACTGAATAAAGTATTCAATGTAAAAATGTTTTCAAAATTGTCTATCAAACTTGTAACTTTGTCAGTTGATTCCATGAATCAAATTATTATTACTGTAGTCTGAATTCACACTCCTACTCAACATTAGGACTATTATTTCAATTATCATGGTTAATGAGCTTTGGATAAGTGTTAATAGCACCCGATGGGCTTTTCACTCAACCATTCAGTCTAAATTTAATGTTGTGATCATTAGTTTAAGTTACCAGATTTTATTTATTTATAACTCAAAAAATGAAACTAGTTATTACAAATTTTACCTTTTATATTACCAGGTAGACGGAAAGAAGAGCAACAATGTAAATATGTATTTTTCATTCCCAAATTATTTATTGTGTTGTATTTTTTTGCCTCTCTGATAAAATTGTTTTCATCTTTTCCATGTTTATATTGCTATTATTATCATTTCATGCTTTTTTATGGGTTGTTTCAAGAGGTTAATGTTTATTGTTTATTTACCTCAATTTTTACCCTGTTAAAGTCATTTTACATTTTCACTTTTAATTTAATTTTTTATTGATTCAATTTTTTCTCTCTTTTCATGTTTACATTTCAATAGTTTCCAGAGGACGAAGCAAAAGTACTCCAGGAATTCAATCAAAATATAACCTTAATTTACCAAAGGCCAATGATGGTAAATACTCTCGAAATCATACTCAATCAGCAAATACATTGTTAACTGATGACGAGTTACTTGTGATAAATGAAGAAAAATCTCATGAAGAAGGTGAAAATGGTACTCGAAGGGGACAAGATGAAAATGATGATGATCTTGGTGATAGAGGTGGTGATGGTGAAGCTCATGGAGTTGGAGATGAGTTGGATCGACATTCGGATCATCAACACTCTCTGCTTCCTCCATCGTATCATCTTCACCAACAGCAAAGTTCATCTGGTCTTTCTGATGGAATCAAAACTGAATTAAATAACTGTAATTCACAAGCCAGTGTTGCCTTTATCAAGGAAGGTGTGAACATTTATTTTACTCCGCCAACCCCAACTCCACTTACCACAGCCAATCTCGATTGGTTGATTGATGGATCTTCCATTTCTCCTTCAGTGGCTACTACTACAACGTCCAAACGTAGTCCTGAAGGTGAACCATCGAATGCTGACAGCAATCAGGGAATTGTCCCAAGACCAAATCAACTTCGCCCATCAGCATCTCCAACTCCACCATTCAACTCATCCAATTCACCTTCACACAGCCACAGCCATTGTAATGTGCCTTCATCAACTAGCACATCAAACACCTACCATCATCATCATCATCCCTTTGCGTGTCATCTCATTTCTCCTGCTCATTCGACATCACACTTGTTTCTTTCGACGGCCTCTGGTACACCTTTGGTTCCACTTTCTCCTGTTCCATCTTTTGGGGAAAGTGAGGCTTCTTCTGCAGTTAATGCCGCTCTATCGGCAGCTGCGGCCACCACATCGGCTGGAAATTTACCGCCGCAAGAGATTTTGCTTTCTGAGATTAAACGTCTTCGAGATAGATTGGCTCATCTTGAGAAGGAAAACACTTCAATGAGTTACAAACTGTCCCAACAGCAATGGGAGGTCGAGGAAAGGTTGAAGGGCATTGAGATGAAGATGATAGCTACTAAAGAGGACGATGCCAGTTCATGTGGGAATCGTATCTTCAATGATGATAGACTAATTGTTGGTTGTGAAAATGATGATGAAGATGATGGTGAGGGTTACAATGGTGAATTGGTTCTTTGCGGTGAAACTGGTTTTGAATCGAGTGGACCTGAAGAGGAAGATGGCTTATGTAGATGTCCAGAAGATGAAGATGGTGTTGATCATGGTGTTAATGTAGATAATGATATTGACGACGATGAAGATGAAAGTGAGAGAAATAAAGAATCTATTATTTAATGATAAAATGTTGATAGTTCCAGGCTTGTTACATGAAAAATAAACAAAGTTATGTGTAAATGAGAAATCAAAAGGAGACTTTTTTGCTTCTCTTCTAGTCCTTTTCCTCTCTAATTGAGAGGATATAATTAATCTAGTCGATGATTATGATGATGATATTTTGTGTTTTTCCCTCCTTTATGTAGACTATTTATCATCATCTCAATCAATCCTCTCAACCAATTTCCATCTCTTCATTTTTCAGCTTTCTCTGAAATCATCTCTCATTCCATGTAAAAATGAACTCACAGACGTCGTTTTTGACAAAATACAAATTATCACTGGAAAAAGAAAGTAAAAAGAGAGCCTGAAACCCGAATTTCTCATCATTATAAAATAGATCAAATTGAATCGGGAAACAAAACTAAATCACCCCAAGAATCAATCTTGTTAACAAATTTCACTAAAATGTTAATTATCAATTCAATAAATTTTTACTAATCCAATAAGATACATTGACAATTTTTACCATCTATTATTGAAATAAATGTTCAAATGCCTGAATTATCTGTTGATTGAGAAAATTTATCATGAAATTATAATAAAAATTATAAAAGGTAAAATGAAGAGTTGAAGCAAACTCTGATTATTGATTACTAGAGGAGGCTTTCATGGGATCAGCGACTAAAGCTCCAGAATCAGTTACAAAAATTGAACCAGTTGTGTTTCGAGAAGCATCACATGAAAGGAAAGCGATCATATTGGCAAGGTCAATTGGATCAGCGACACGTTGCAAAGGTTGTTGTTCGACCATTCCGTCCCAAAAAGCCTTTGGGTCAAGGTTAAGCGAGGCAACAAAATTGGTTCGCACTGGACCAGGAACGACTGAATTAACTCGAACATTTGGAGCCAATCTACTGGCCATTGTTTTTGTGAACATATCGACAGCAGATTTGGCCATTCCATAAGACCACATGCTTGGATACTGGAGACAATGAGGATTCAATTAAAAATGCGAACAATTTAATAATAGTTTATTCAACTAAACCTTCAGCTACTCAGCTACTAATGACAATAGTAATGACACTCACCGCTTTTAAACTAGCAATGCTGGAAACATTGACTACAGATCCTTTAGCTTTAATTAAGTATGGTGCAGCTAATTGAGTCAGTCGGACAACAGATCGGACATTGATTTGTTGGGTTCGATCATAGTCACTAAGAGCGTCGGCATCAAGGAAATCTTTATTGTTGCTCTGACCAGCATTGTTGACTAAAATATCCAAGTGTTTATAAGCAGAAATGGTCTCTTCAAAGGTTCGTACAACATCTTCATCATTAACAAAATCAGCTCTTATGACAACAGGTTTGTAGTTATGAGGTGATTTAGCTTCACATTCAGCAGCAACTTTATCCAGTTTATTTTGATTACGTCCAACAATGGCCACTTTAGCACCTAAAGATGAAAAGAGTATTGCTGTTGCAGCTCCAATTCCATCACTAGAGCCAGTGATCAAAGCTACTTTATTGTCCAAATCAATCATAATTTAGAGTTAAATATCAGAAATGAAAAACACACAAATATTCAATGAGATTAATGCAAGAAACAAATTAGGCGAACTGAGACAAACTGCTAGCTTTATACCATTTTTATTCAACTTATACATATCATTGACGCCTATTTTCATAATGATGCAAATGCCTCATAATATTATCTAATTATTAAGTTTAATCAAGGGCAGTCTGATTCTCTGGAACTTGCACTAGAAGCAATATTAACTGGATAATTTTTTGGAAAAACTATGGAGAAATTCATCTTTTCCACTTCAACTCGTCAGTTAGGCACCTTACCTTGATAGAATATTCTTGTTTATATTCTAGATCTAGTTGATTGTTACTCAATATCATTTTATCAATAGTAACAAGTGTACCCGTCGATTACAAATGAACTCTCTTTGATTTTTTTATGTTTGCAATGCAATTCATAAGAGAAAGTGAATTACAATTTGATTAGTTGATGACATACTGACTCAATTTCAATGGCCTTTAACCTTACAATCCCTGAAATTTTCATCTTTCTCCATCAGTCTTACACATGATTTTCCATTTTTAATGAACATTTTGCTTTTCGTACATTTAGTGAGTGAACTGGCAAGTAAATGAGTTAGAAATGAATTTTAACAAGTTTGTAGTCTATGCGGTTCGGAAATTTTTCAACAATTTATTTCTAATCAGTTGAACAATATCTTCAATATTGCTTTTTGTAAAATTTCCAAGTGAGTTGAACAACTTTAATCTGTTAAAATTTATAACCAAATGAATACTGTCAAACCACTAATAATGTCGCTTCGTTGGATTAGCATTCGGGCTATTTTTCAATAATTTTTAGGTGAAATCAAGAGAAAAATTATTTGATTTATTTAAGTTGATTGTTATGCAGATTTTATAATTTCATAGTTAACACGACATAACTCCACAGCTGTAAAGATACTCAAATGTCTACCTCAAATGAGTAACACCGATAAGTTAACTCATTTAACTGTCTTACTTAATACATACTTTCAATTGATAACTACAGATGGAGTTTCAATTAAGAGATTTTGCATTGTGCTTCTATTTTATCATATAATGCAAAAAATACTACGAACTTCTCCTTACTCTCATCCGAAATATCAGCCATTATCTCTATTCTTCGAGTTTTCCTAAGCTTTGGACTTCTTTGCATTAATAAATGACAACCACAATGTCCATCTCTTAACTTTAGAGAAAGTAAATCTGAAATCATCTCTCATTCCATGTAAAAATGAACTCACAGACGTCGTTTTTGACAAAATACAAATTATCACTGGAAAAAGAAAGTAAAAAGAGAGCGTGAAACCCGAATTTCTCATCATTATGCACTAAATCACACCAAGAATCAATCTTGTTAATAAATTTTATTAAAATGTTAATTATCAATTCAATAAATTTTTACTGTTTCAATAAGATAAATTAACGATTTTTACCATCTATTATTGAAATATATGCGTAAATGGCTGAACCATCAGATAATTTAATGAGATGAGATATGAGGCATGAGATAAATCATATAATTAAAATGAAATGATAAGTAAAACGAAAAAATAAACCGTAAAAGTAAATCCTTATTATTGATTATTAGACGCAGCGATTATTTCATAGGATCAGCGATTAATTCCCCAGAATCTGATACAACAATTGATCCAGTTGTATTTCGAGAAGCATCACATGCAAGAAAAGCGATCAAGTTGGCAAGGTCAATTGGATCAGCAACTCGTTTCAAAGGCTGTTTATCGACTAAACGGTCCCATGTAGTCTTTGGGTCAAGGTTAAGCGAGGCAACAAAATTGGTTCGAACTGGACCAGGAACGACTGAGTTAACTCGAACATTTGGAGCCAATCTACTGGCCATTGTTTTCGTGAACATATTGAGAGCAGATTTGGCCATTCCATAAGACCACATACGTGGAAACTGTAGAATCAATTAAAAATACGATCAGTTAAAAATATTTTTATAATAACCTGCAGCAACTGATGACACTCACCGTGTTTAAACTAGAGACACTGGAAACATTGACAACAGATCCTTTAGCCTCAATCAAATATGGTGCAGCTAATTGAGTCAGTCGGACAACAGATCGGACATTGATTTGTTGAGTTCGATCATAGTCACTAAGAGCGTCGGTATCAAGGAAATCTTTATTGTTACTCTGACCAGCATTGTTGATTAAAATATCCAAGTGTTTATATGCAGAAATGGTCTCTTGAAGGGTTCGTACAACGTCTTCATCATTAACAAAATCAGCTCTTATGACAACAGGTTTGTAGTTATGAGGTGATTTAGCTTCACATTCAGCAGCAACTTTATCCAGTTTATCTTGCTTACGACCAACAATGGCCACTTTAGCCCCTAAAGATGAAAAGAGTTTGGCTGTTGCAGCTCCAATCCCATCACTAGAACCAGTGATCAAAGCTACTTTATTGTTCAAATCAATCATAATTTAGGGTTAAATATCAGGGATAAAGAAACACAAATTTTTGTTGAAATTAATGTTTAAAAGAAATATGGAAAACTGAGACAAAATGCTAGCTTTATACCATTTTTATTTAGCTCATTCATTTCAGTGAAGCTTATTTTCGTATTGATGCAAATGCCTTTTGATATTATCTCATTATTTAGTACAATCAAGTGCAGTCTGGTTCTTAGGAATTGCACTAGAAGCATTCAAATGATATCATTATTCACAGAAGCTTAGTATTCCTTAGCTTTCCTTATGTGTTGTTCAAGCATGCAAAATATAACACAAATGCTTGATTTATTGTTTGGGTTAAACAGTTTAAAAAATTGTTCTTCTCCATCCATTTCAACTCGAAATGCGTTTTGTAACTGTAGTCACTAAGGTGCCTTGCCTTGTAAGAATATTCTAGATTCAGTTTTGTGCGGAGTACGGTTATTGTTATGTAAGTAGGACAGAGATTTAACGCGAGATACAGTGAAATGATAAGCACAATCGATAACAATAATTTTATCAATAGTAACAAGTGTACCCGTCGGTTACAAATGAACTCACTTTGACTTGTTTGTGTTTGCAATGCAATTCATAAGAGAAAGTGAATTACAATTTGATTAGTTGATGACATTATGACTCCATTTCAATGGCCTTTAACCTTACAATCCCTGAAATTTTCCAAGCCTAAACGCGGATAACTATTAATAATATAAATCATTAACTAACGAAGTCCTTATAACGTGAGTTATGTCTACAAAATACATTAGAGTTGATTATAAAGGCCTCAATGAAATACATTTAAGATTTATTATAGCAAGAGGAATATATTTTTTTAACAGTTAAAATTGATTTCAATTTTATGGGTCTCTCATAAGCTAATTAACAGCTGCCGTATAAAATGTCGTGGTCAATTACTGACCGTTTTCAATTTTTTCGCGTATTTCTTATCATAGCTGCATCACGAGGAGTATTTCTTAAAACATTATTTGTCACTATTTGTTACAGTTTTCATAGTGTCTAGAGACTGAACTATCACGATTTGTTTTTAATAAGGTTCATCATGTCTTTAGATAGTCAAATGAACGCCAACTTTAGTTTACTCAATTTTCAGGATGAGTTTGAATATTGATTAATGTTGTGATTATTACTTTTAGATAACAACTTTATTTATTTATAACTCAAAAAATGAAACTGTAAAGATGTCAAAATTTCCCCTTTTATTTTACCATGTAGCCGGTAAGAAGAGCAAAAATGTAAATGTTATTCCTAACAAATATGTAAGACAAAATCAACTTCGTCCATCAGCATATATGAATCATATCAATTCCATCAAATTTTACTATTGACAGAAACATTGAAAATTTTCACCATCGAATATTGAAATAAATGTTCAAATGAATCATCCATTGAGTGAGCTACTTTATCGAGTAAAACGAAGAGATAAGCCATGAAAAGCAAACTCTGATTATTGATTATTAGAAGCAGGTGGCATTGGATCAGCGACTAAAGATCCAGAATCTGATACAACAATTGAACCAGTTGTGTTTCGAGAAGCATCACATGAAAGGAAAGCGATCAAAGTGGCGATTTCTTCTGGATTGCCGACTCGTTTCAAAGGTTGTGCTGCGGCATAAGCGTCCCATATAGTATCTGGGTCAACATTAAGTGAAGACAGAAAATTGGTACGCACTGGACCAGGGTTGACTGAATTAACTCGAACATGTGGAGCCAATTTACTTGCCATTGTTTTTGTGAACATATCGAGAGCAGCTTTGGACATACAATAAGACCAAGCGGTTGCAAACTGTGAGCAAAAAGGATTTGATGAAAAATAAGAACCATTTAAAATTTTTTTTTCATTTAATCTTTAGCTACTAATAACAGTAGTAATGACACTTACCGGTTTTAAACCAGCAACACTGGAAATATTGACAACTGATCCTTTGGCTTCAATTAAATGTGGTGCAGCTAATTGAGTCAGTCGGATAACAGATCGGACATTAACTTGATGGGTTCGATCATAGTCACTAAGAGCTTCGGCATCAAGGAAATCTTTATTACCAGTAAGACCAGCATTGTTGATTAAAATGTCCAAGCGTTTATAAGCAGCAATGGTTTCTTGAAGGGTTCGTACAACATCTTCATCATTAACAAAATCAGCCTTGATAACAACAGGCTTGTAGTGATGAGGTGATTTAGCTTCACATTCAGCAGCAACTTTATCCAGTTTATCTTGCTTACGTCCAACAATGGCCACTTTAGCACCTAAAGATGAAAAGAGTTTGGCTGTTGCTGCTCCAATCCCATCACTGGAGCCAGTGATCAAAGCTACTTTATTGCTTAAATCAATCATAATTCAGGGTTAAATTTCAGAAATAAAGAAACACAAATGTTTAATGGAATTACTGTAATGTTTAAAATGAATGAGAAAAACTGAGAGCTTTTATTTATACCATTAACGCCTATTTCCATATTTGATGCGAGTACCTTATACAGGGCGGAGAGAAAGTTCCTAGGCAAGTTCCGCCTTTCGAATACATTTTAGTCCATTATTTCACCCACTGCCTTGAAACTCTTTCTTTATCTTGTAATATTATCTAACTATCTGGTTGTTCAATCAAGTACAATCTGGTTATGAAGAGCTTGCATTAGGAACATTCAAATGATATGATAATTTAGAAAAACTTAGACTCTTTCCCTCGTTTGTCAAACATGGAGAACCATTACTTGAAGCTGTTATTAAAAGACACTTTATTGGCTTAATTGATCTTGATTTTTTAAATTGATTGTTCCATTGTCTGGACTTGTAAACTTCCCATTGTAACCAATCTTGGTATCTATTCAATGTTCAAACTGAAGCAATTAAAGCACTTTATTTGATTTGGTAACCATAATTTGTTATTGAGGATACAATCCATTCAGAAACCCAAAATAAAAGATAATCATCATTATTCCAGTTCCTGATTCAACATTTCTCAAACATTTCATATAAAATTTTTTAGTGAAACTCAGAGAAATTAATTTTAAGATTGTTACAAATCCATCGGTAAATAACCATAAATGACCGTAAATGAATATTGGTAATCCAAAGGTATTACCTGTTATAGATTTAACGCAAGATACGGTGAAATGATAAGCACAATCGATAAAAATAATTTTATCAATAGTAACAAGTGTACCCGTCGGTTACAAATGAACTCACTTTGTCAGGTTCATGTTTGCAATGCAATTCATAAGGAAAGTGAATTACAATTTGATTAGTTGATGACATGATGACTCCATTTCAATGGCCTTTAACCTTACAATCCCTCAAACTTTTATCTTCCTCAGTCAGTCCTACACATGAGTTTCCATTTTTTTCATTTCTTTCTCTTTAATTAAATATCATGTCGGAAAGAAGCAATCAGCCCGTGTATTAAGTGGTGATCAATAAAAAATGAGACCAACTTTAAACAATGATATTTTGGTAATTATTAGGTTTATTTTATCAAATTTAGTTTTAATTCAATTAGTAAGAATTGAAAAAGGCCCATGTGTAGTTCGATCAACACATTCGATCTCAGTCTCATGTAGTCAACGCTCAAAGAAAACGAAAAAAATTTGTCGGTTCAGGCTTTTAACATTACATTAGGCATACAAGAGAGAATGGAACTAACTTTAAATACGTTTAATTAACGAATTTATTTGAAATGAACATTGTTTTTGGGTCCAAATAAAAGAGTTTCATCCATTTTGATTGAATTTTTTACCTGAAAAAGTCAATTAAAATGAATGAAACTCACTCATATTATTGAAAATGTCATTCTCTTTTATTTGCACCCAAAACCCTCTCTCCCCACCCTGTATTATCTAACTATCTGGTTGTTCAATCAATTTCAATCTGGTTATGAAGAGCTTGCATTAGAATCATTCAAATGATATGATAATTTAGAAAAGCTTAGATTCTTTCCCTCGTTTGTCAAACATGAAAAATATCTCCCAAATGCTGCCATTTGATAATTGGGTTAACCTTAATCTAAACCAATTTGGACGGGATAACTCTTGATGAGTTTTTTTCGGAAAATTATGTATTTACTCTTTCCATCCATTTTTAACCTTTCAAAATAAGTTTTATCAAGTCATTCAGGTATCTTTATTTGTCAGAGTATTCTGGCTTTGTAGTTGATAATGAATATGATCATTTTTGTGATTATTATTGTATGTAGGACAGAGATTTGAGTACAAGAAAAGGGGAAAATGATAAAGAAAAGTTGATAACAAGAATCATAATAATGGCTAAGATTTCAAGTAATGAAGATTTGAAGTGAGAAAAATCTTTTCATTATTAAGGTTTTGTTTGGACTAATAAAATAATGTTAGATGGCTTTTGTATAATGATTTTGATGTAAAATTAAAATTATGCGGCAGAATTTTCAACGTTAGATCCAGTTCATCTTGATCACACACAGCAATAGAGGATCCATCACCTGAAGCTGTGATTTAAAGACACTTTATTGGCTTAATCGACCATCATTTGATAAATTGATTGATCCATTGTCTGATTATTGTTAGTGAACTTGTAAACCAGTCTTGTAATCTATGCAATGTTCAAACTCAACTTATTTGCACAAAGGTTATGGAGAATAAAAATCCATTCAGAAACCCAAAATAAAAGATAATCATTATTATTTCAGTTCCTGATTCAACATTTATCCAACATTTCATTCTGATTGTTAAAACAGTTTCTCATTTGTTTATGCTTTTCAATAATTGAATAAGGAAATATAAAATTTTCAAGTGAAACTCAGAGAAATTAATTTTAAGATTGTTACAAATCCATCTGTAAATAGTCATAAATGATCGTAAATGAATATTGGTAAGCCAAAGGTAATACCTGTTAAGGAAAATCTCGAGTAAACAAGAACAAAGTTAATCACCCAAAATTACCTGGTTGATTAAGTAATTGATATAAAAAGACTGAACAATATATTGACTGAAATACCTGTCGATGTAATATATTATTTTATTATATAAAAGTTATTGTTACTTCTTTGCTCTTTGGAGTTTCGACTTGTTCATAAATGATTGACAAGGCACTTTCAATGTGACAAACTCATTGTTTGTCCAAGAATCAGTTTATGATTATCTTGATAATCAGATGAAATGGGAAACTTAATAAGTAGACTTAGTAAATAGACTTAGCAAACAGATTTAATAATCAGGTAAATGTTTCATATTTAATTTAATACTTAATTAATTGTCAGTTGCTAAACACTTGCACTGATAAACTTTGGTTTCGAGAGCAATCTTCATCTTCACAGTTATTTAAACCTAATTAAAGCTTGTTGATTATTTAGTTGAAGGAGAGACATATTACTGTTAATTACATATTAGTGTTTTTTTGGAGTCAAATAATTTTGATTATGATCGATTTGGACGATAAAACGGCTTTAATTACTGGCTCTAGTGATGGGATTGGAGCAGCAACAGCTTTACTTTTCTCATCTTTAGGCGCTAAAGTGGCCATTGTTGGACGGGATAAAGCTAAATTGAATAAAGTGGCTGAACGATGTGAAGCTAAATCACCTCATAACTACAAACCTGTTGTCATAAAAGCTGATTTTGCCAAAGATGAAGACGTCGTAAGAACCTTTCAAGAGACAATCTCAGTTTTTAAAAAGTTGGATATTTTAGTCAACAATGCTGGCATTGCCTCAACCAAAGCGTTTGGTGATCCTGATTATCTTAATGATTATGATCGAGTTATGCAAATCAATGTGCGAGCTGTTGTCCGTTTAACTGAATTGTGTGTTCCACATTTAACCCGAGATTATGGATCTATCGTTAATGTTTCAAGTGTTGCTGGTTTGAGACCGGTAAGTACTCTTTATATCATTAATACTTAAATTCATTGGCTTATGAGATTTTCATATTTGATTGTTTGTTGCTCCATTTGCAGAATCCTGGATCTTGGTCTTATTGCATGTCAAAAGCTGCTCTTGATATGTTTACAAAGTCTATGGCTGGTAAACTGGCTCCACACATTCGAGTGAATTCAGTCAATCCAGGTGGAACCCGAACTAATTTCTTCTCTTCTCGACCCGATCCAAAAGCCATATTGACACTGTTGGCAGACAAGCAACCCTTGAAACGAGTCGCTGAACCTCAAGATATTGCCAATTTAATCGCTTTCCTCGCATCTGATGCTTCAAGAAACATGACTGGTTCAATTGTTGTTTCAGACACTGGCTTATTAGTTGCTGACCCTTACAGATAATAAGAAAAAATCTTTGATTAATTAAAATGTCAAAATTTTATATATTTTACACAATTAAATTACAATATTGGATTAAAAAGTAAACATTGAAGTTAATCGATTAAGTCATTCAGTCGATGAAATTTCGACTAGCGTCTATTCATTAACATGTGATAGAAAACTAATTTATCCTGAAAGCGTTAAAAAATCATGAATTCAAATTTTTGACTTTTCTCAAAATAAAGACTAGAAACAGTGAAAATGAGTCGACTTTGTCGGAGTTAACCATGCTAACATCATTTTCCTAGGTTTCTAACTGTTATTGAGTTGCTAATTGATCAGAGATAGGGTTTTAGATTTCGCGGGAGAAATGAAAAGTCTTATTTAAGCGGAGATCAATGAATACAATGTATCAATAAGTAGATAGTATTTCTGATATTTTCTAGCTCTATCCAGCATTTATTCAACTGAATAAAGAGATAGTTGAGGATAGCCATTAATTTTTTATCTTCAAAATAAAAGACATTGAATCTAAGCACAAAAATAGTAGAAAAGGTTGGAGTTAAGTTAGAAGGCTTTCTAAATAAATAAACAAACCATTTGAAAGAAAATCAATTTCTGGTTCTTTTTACTGAGCCTCATGTTATGATTTTGCGGTTGTTCTTTCCATTTCATCTCCTTTTTGGTACATCTTCATCAGGCTTTCCAAGGCTGCACTTGGATCAGCATCAGGGTCTTCTTTGTCCTTCTCGTCGTAAACACTGGTGGGCTTACTATACTTAATGTTACAATCTTGGACTTTGTTGACTTGAAGTAGCTTCCTTGGGTGTTAATTTTCTTGTTCTTATGAAGTTTGCTTAAAGTGAATTTATAACGACCGATAACAATTCACAAGGAACTTTCATCAGGAATGTTGATTGAGTCATCCTCGAATGGTTCTTATCATCCAAAGGTAAATTTTGACAAATTTTTCAGTCTGATCCCACGCAAAGATGGACAAAGTAATCAATTCTACTTCAATCGGGATGACTTTTGTAGTACGATTTGTAAAAGATTTCTTGATATTTTCCAATCTTGACAACTCATCTCGTAGCAACCTTTCATTTGACTCTCTAGAAGCATGGTTATCCAGGATATTTTCAAGTTGGAAGTTCAATCTGAATCATAAAGAAAATAAAAAGATTATTAGTTGGATAACGAAACAAAAGACTAGCAATTCAATCAACAAAATAAAAACAAAATATTTAACACCGTTAGCTTTGAGATACACTTGTACTTACGCTATGTAACTCTTGTACATCTCACCTATTATGCTGCCATCTGTTGCTTCAAATTAACCCATTTAACTATTATTAATCTATTAGCAGAATCATGTAAATAGCGAACCAATTCATAATAGCATGGCATTCATTAGTAATAGTAAAAAATCATATTCCTTTAATAGTTCCTCTTCACTATACAAGATTTAAATACTATTGATGAATTGTCCAGCCCTAGTTATTCTTTTACTGTCATGAGAGGGTTTGTTTTATACGATATTAATAATGATTGATCAATTAAGACAAGGTTTGAATGAAATACCGTCATGTAGATAAAGCGATCGGAAAACTAATTTCCTTCCATCAGTCAATAATTAAATTGGCGACAATCATTGACGTTAGTTGACATTTGTTATCATTGACGAAATGGTAAAACTGATTTAAATTTTACACTTGATTTGTTTGAATTAAACTTTTCGAATTTCAATTTTTCTGACACTTTGACAGTTTGAGTCATCATTGTTTTCAGCAAGATACTTTTTATCATTGAAAAATACATTAACAAACAAATGTTTCAAGGATCGCGATATTCATGCAGTCTTCGTGATTTAAAGAATGCCTATGTAATTAATGTATCCAGAAAGCTCTGTGGTCTCAATTAATCAACATCAGGTGAAAAAATGAGTAACTTGAAACTGAATATTGTTTTATTGCCATTATCGTTTACTGTCTTCATTTTGACTGTTAATAGTTATCCTTTGGTGCTGCCATCAGCTTTGGTTAATCAATTTGACAAATCGAGTGAAAACAGTAACCCTACTGTTCCTTACAAAGTTGATTATCACATTGGATCTCGATTTGACCCATTTAAGGAACGACTTAATAGTCCTGATGACTACGATGGCACAGGAATCAGGCCAGCTATGCGAGCTCCAATTGTTGAAGTCTTACTGCCTTGGGAAGACGATCCAGAGATCGTCTATCTGACAGAGAAACCGCAGAACATTACAAATAATGTTACCTCGATCTCTAATTCAACATCCTCTACAGCATCATCATTTAATTTACCTGATCAATCATCAACTCTAAGTTCATCAATAAAATCATCTTCCATTACGCCAGTAACCGAATCAAATACAACAGTGAGTTTACTTCCATGGGAAGAGGATTCGTGGCAGTTGTTCGAGACAACAGTGGGCTTAAACTCATCAAACTTGACTTTTATTACCGCACCATCAACATTCAAGACACCTCTTTATGTATCAATCACGACTTCAAGTACACCATCGACAACAAGTGGCCCAACTAGTTCTACTTCAGCCTCAACTGTTAGTTCGTCCACAGTGACTGCTGTAACAACCACAACTTATTCACCTCTACCGTGGGAAGAAGATTATTTTGACAATATTGTCTCTAATCCAATTCAGGTAATCGTTTTGTTTTCCGATAGATTTAAAGATAACTATTAATATATTTTGTTTAATCATTCAATCAAAGGTGGGATCAACGTTGAAGCCTTATGAACCACCAACCCACCAAACTGACTTCATCGCAAGAAACTACAACTACAACTCGATCAACTGATCTATTGATCACAATCAGCACTAATCCAGAATCATCAATTGAAGAATCGTTATTTAACTTGATACCTTTAAAACCAATCGAAAATTCTGACCCGAATTGGCCCAAATTCCCAAATAAAAGTCCAAAGTCAAGCAAATTTGGTTATAATTAATGCCTTTGGATCCAAATATTTGAAACTCATCATTTTGCTACAGAAAAGCTCATTTTATAAATATAAATTTCCAAAATAATCAACCTATGATAAAATAAAATGTACTCATAATTTACTTTTGAAATTAATAAATTTTTGAACTAAATAATCGATCTATCGATAATTCAGATTTTTCAGTCCAATCTGATTTTCCCAATTAACTTACAGGTGGAAAGTTCAGCCAGAGACATCGAACTTCAAGTTAATATCTGGCTCTTCTTCAAGAGACCAAGAAAAAGTACTCCACGTTTGTTGCATTGATTAGATCAGGTTTATGTAGTAAAGCAATAGCATCGAGTGTTCTCCTTCGAGGTAGTTATTCGGCCTTCTGATTGCAATTAAAAAATAGAGTAAATAGTATGATTTGTTAGGTAAAAATGATGAAGGGTTAGCCCCAAAAGCAATAACTATTAGAAGCATAGCTAATGGTCCATTGAGGATATTCAACAATATTGAAACAAAGGTTTTGTTGGCATTAAGGATTTGATTTTTGTCGATCAGAACATAAGTTGCGAAACTAAAAACTGCAATCTGCGAAAAAAGAGTCGAAAATTGTCTAATTGTATGATTATGATCTTAAGGTTTATGCGAAAGCAACTTAATACACTGCAACTAAAACCTGGTTGTTGCTAAAAAGACTTATTTTAACACAATTGTTTCATTTAAGCACAAATTGAAACAAAGTTGAGCAAAAGTGGACTAAAACGAGCGAGAATTGCTTTCATTCAAATTTAGACGATGTAAGTATGTTTGCACATAAAAACTGAATCAATTTATGCAATTTAAAAGTTTCTCTGATCGATAGTTATCACAAAAATCGAGTCCAAAGTTGAAACTTCGATCGCTTGTTGTACGTTTATGGAAGCATATTTTTTCGTGAAACTCATTTTGTCGAGGTAACTTTTGATGCTGAACCAGAAATTGTCCTTATTTTGAGAAATAAAATTTTCTTTTTTTCGTAAAACAACTAAGTTCGATTTTAATTTAAATCGACTTTTCTGGAGAACTACATCAGTTAGAGAGCTGAAACTTGGTATTGGTCGCTAGAAATGATTTGTTCATATCATGCATTGGATAATTTTTCCCCTTCATCAATAGTTCGCTTAATTTTGGCCATTGACTTAAAAACTTTGAACCTCAATAGTTCGAGAATGGTAGAACCTAAAAATATCATTCTTTGGCCAATCAATATATTTTATTATTGTCTATAATCTATGCAAATATTAAATCATTGAACAAAATACAAAAGAAGTTATAGCATTTCATCATTCATGTTATCAGATTTTATTTGGTTTATAAAGTTAAATGTTTACTCAAACTTAGATCATTGATAAATGAATCAGCTGGAATTTCCTCCAATATTCAGCTATATACTGTTATAGTTCATAGTAAAATCTATTGATTGGCCAAAGAATGATATTTATAGGTTCTACCATTCTCGAACTATTGAGGTTCAAAGTTTTTAGGTCAATGGCCAAAATTAAGCGAACTATTCATGAAGGTAAAAAATTATTCAATGCATGATAGGAAAAAATCATTTCTAGCGACCAATACCAAGTTTCAGCTCTCTAACTGATGTGGTTCTCCAGAAAAGTCGATTTAAATTAAAATCGAACTTAGCTGTTTTACGAAAAAAAGAAAATTTTATTTCTCAAAGTATGTCCATTTTCTGGATCAGCATCAAAAGTTACCTCGACAAAATGAGTTTCACGAAAAAATAGACTTCCATAAACGTACAACAAGCGATCGAAGTTTAAACTTTGGACTCGAATTTTGTGATAACTATCGACCAGAGAAAATTTTAAATCGCATTAATTGATTCAGTTTTTATGTGCAAACAAACTTAAATAGTCTAAATTTTAAAGAAATTCATTTTTACCCATTTTAGCCCTTTTTGTCAACTTGTGCATGAATGCGTTTATTGTTTCTTTTTAATAACAACCTAAAATCCAAAGTGTAGATTCACAAGAGCTAAGATTGAAAAGAGTTAATTCAGTCAGCAAATTTTGTGTAGATCGAAGCAAACCGTTTGCTCATTGCCGCCAATGTTCAAATTCTCGAGTTTATTCTATCACTTTTCTGGGGTCAACCATATACAGCCTAACCACTTACATGTATCATATTTAATCCTAAACTACAGCGTTATTGCAATTCAACTTTGGCTATTTTGGGTCTTGACCAATGTTTTAAACAAAAACTCACCAGAAAAGGTCCACAACCAAGTGCAAAGAAAATAAGTGCTAGCCAAATGGATTGGAATCTCAGAATCTTGATTTCTTCTAATTGATGCAACAATTTCACCAAAAGCACCTCGACAAATGAGTTTCACGAAAAAATATGCTTCCATAAACGTACAACAAGCGATCGAAGTTTCAACTTTGG